CCCTGGACCCATGATCGTGGGACTGGCCGAGGCGCCCAGTGCTAAATCATCGTCCGACAGTTGCTCAGCATCCGAGACGGGGCTTATATTAAAGAGCTCGGGAGCTACATCGTCAATGATACTGTTTTGCGACAACTGCTCCTTCAGCGGGTCGGCTACTTCAACTTTGGTTGGCGCGTCCTTAGCTACGTTGGCAGCTGAGTTGACCGTTGCACTTTGTAGCTTCACACCTTCGTCCACCTGATCTGTACTCTTCTCAGCAATGCCATTCTTTTCGTTGGCTTTGGTTTTCACTTTTGTACTGATCTTGCTAGGCGTTGTGGGTGTGGCAGCAGTCGCAGCGGCAACTGTGGCTTCTGTTGATAACTCAACTGCTGATTCAGATGTGGGACTGACGCTTGCCTTGGTTTTGCTTGGCGACTTTTTCTTCTTCTCCCCGGTTGTTGTTGTCGTGCGCTTCTTCTTCTCACCGGTTTTAACCGTCGTTGTCGATATTGTTGTTGGTATTGCAGCTGCTGCTGTTGTTGTTGTTGTTACCGTGTTTGTCGTTGTCGTGTTCTCTGTGATCTCTGGCTGCTTGCTAACTGTTGAAGCAGATTTCTTAATGGTCAAATCATAACGTTTGGCCACATTGCCATCCCAGGTGCCCTCTGGCAGCAGCACCAGGTTGTTCTTCAGCTTCGGCTCAAAGCCAGGCACATCGTACAACAGCTGCGTATCCAGAGTATTCAGATAAACCTATAGATAGATGAGGAATTCATAAGTAAGACTCTGATGATCGCAGTACGGACATTCAATACTCACCAGATCCTTCTCGCCGTGCGGCTGTAGCAACAGCTCAAATTTTCCATACGCAAACTGCGTGCCAATCAGTGTGATGACGTGCTTCACCGTGAAATGGGAACGCACAACGACATTGATTTTCTTCTGCTGGGAGCCAGGCGTCTGGTCAAAGACGGCGCACTGTGTGCTATCCTTGTTGTCCTTCTCAGCCATGTCCTGGTCCTGGTCGCGCTATGCTAACCAAATGGGTTAAAGGCCTGCAACGATTGCGTTACAAACAAAAATTTTGAGCGCCTGAAAATATTGGTATAAAATAAAAAAAAAAATTCAAAAGCAGAATGGAAAAATAAAAACTACTGTCATTTCAGTTTTAGAAGCTGCCTGACAGCGTCAGCATAGTCGACCAGCAACAGCAGCTGCTGGCGGGCTACAGCAACAAGGAAGTCGCCAGCCCCCCGCCCCACACGTGCTGTTCATTGCTCCCATCCGTTGGAAGGGGCCAGCCGCACGCCCCCACCGCCTCGAGTCCCTCAACACCCACCGTGTATAGACCTCAATTCGAAAATAAACCAAATTCCCATTGCCTGCTGATGTTTGCGTTTTTTCGCGCCTTATTTGTACGCCACACACACCATGAGAGAAGATCGAGAACATGACTAAGATTGCACGGAATTTTATAAACAAAAATTCTGGGGCCGGACTGTGTTGGCGACGGTACATGGATATGTTCCATATATTTCAGCTGCTACCGAATTTTCACCAAGAGCGTCATAATTGCCGCATAAATTGCTCCTACGAATGTCATTCCAAGACGATGCTGCCGTTGCCGTTGCCGTTGCTTTCTTTGTTGAACCATTGGGCAACGGGCATCACATTGTAACGGACGGAAGTGCTATGCACATACATATATATTTATAGTGAGCCATATATGTATGCATGCATGCTTGTAGTATATGACATTTGGCCGCAATGCGCAAAATATACAAGAACTGGACGTCAAAGAGGCGTGCTGTAAAATATATATTATAAAATATTATGTATTTATATTTTGGATAAGTTCTGAGGCGCAATGGTCACGGTGCATAAAGAAAACTTGCAGTTATTATAATATAATTTGCATGTATATAGAGATATACGATATGCAGGCTATATAATGTGTTCTATTATCTGTTGTTCGTCAAGAACTCAATTGTCAAAACCCAACGCACAGCTGTTGACATCCATCTGTATCTATTTCTGATAACGCATTAGCTAAACAAAACAGTTTCACACATTCTCAAGAAATACAGTCCGCATATAAAGGGAACGCCTGTCGGAAATATACCTATATATGTACATATAATATAATATATGTATCTATCGCACTATGTATACCGGAAAGCAAATGTCTGTGCGCAAATGGCTTGTGCGATCTAATTAAATGTCCAAAACAGCAATTAGTATTAGCGAAATGCGCAATGTTTTTACAACTCTAAAATTTGATATAAATAGGCGCAAACATTTGCCGAGACTGTGGCAAGTGCTTTGGCCAAAAGATTAATGCAAATGAGCTGCAATTTCAAACACATGTTGGATGAACGCAAGCATTTTATGATATATAGATACAGATATAGATACATATCTCTCTCTGTATGTGTGTGTGTGTGTGCAGTTGCTGGTACGCTAGAGTGGAATCCAAAAATTTAAATACGCTACCAGCAGAAATCAAAATAAAGAATACAAAAATTGTGCGTCTAAAAATATAAGAAAAGAGACAGCGACGACGACGACAACGACAAAAGCACTGAAGCTGAAGAAAATAAAAAATAATATATATGTACATATATACAAATATACAAAAAAAAAAAAGAGCAACAAATATTCAAAGCAGGGAGCAAAAGTATCTGTCAGATACAATCTTGCTATTTGTAAATTCGAAGGTTTTCGTTACCGAAACATTGCACAAACCACAACCTATATACATATATATGTATACATACATATAGGTATATTTATATATATATGTATATATATTTGTATATTTCTAAGTCCGTCAATCGAATCTGTTAAACGCACGAGAATTCTCATCAATATTTACGTTTGACGGCAATGCCTCTGCCTGTGTTGGGTTTGGGCGTGACTTGGTCAAAATTCCTACAGAAACGAATCCAATTCTCGATGATTTTTATGTTATGCGCCAGACTAGAGAAGAGTGTGTTAAGTGTGGGTATTTGAAAATTTTGCATATAGTTCAGGCTATTTTTAAAACATTTTCAGATTTTGTGGTCGAGACTTATGCCAAATAGTTCCGATTACTCAGTTATATAGTACACACAGACACGCACACACACGCACGTAGCCAGTCAGAGTGAGAGATTTCGAGTTCGAGTCATATGTAGCCTTTATGCAGCAGTTCTTTGTACTCCCTATAGTTATTACGAAAGAGTGTCTATTTAAATGTTTTCTATTTTTAGACTAATTGCTAGGGGATTTGCACATTATACGCTTTGGATGTAACTCCATTTGGAGCGAACACACACAGGCATTAACGCATAGGATTATGTATATATATTTATAAATATATGTATATTTAGATATACACACAGCACACACACGCACACACACCGTCTAATTGCTGACGAGTTCTTTTGTGCGCTATGAAATCCCGCCGTCAACGCAACGACATCGTCTCACGCGTATTCGAGTACTGACCACTGCTGCGATGGCACGAACTGGCGCTGGCGCCTCAGAGTGCACGATGATTGGCTCGATCGTTGCCGAGCAGCCGGAATTGCCGGGTAGCCAGGCAGCCGGATAGCTGGGTGCGCTACAAATCGCTCACTGACTGCAGTTGCTCATAGCGGGCGCTGATAACAATAACAAATGCACACACACATACACACACACACACCTACACACAGTTAGCGCTATTAGCAACAACTGTTGATAATAATGAAATCGCAAATTGTGGAACTCGACGAATGAGTGTGTGCAGTATATTAGGGCTCAGGGCTCCCAGTGACGTCGTGTAGTCCACCCGGCAGTGGTGTAGGCCCCAATCTAGACAAATTTATTCAATGAAACAGCCAAGTACGTATACTAGATGGATGTTCTGTATGCCAGAGACCGAGAGAGAGGGAGAGAGCAAGAGAGACTGAAATTTATGGCGAAAGTGCTATTAATGTTTGTGCAAAATGCTATCGCCAATTGTCCGATGAATGACTATTTTTATGCGCTGCTCGACTGTGCCTCGCCAGCGTCTCATGTGTGACTAAGAAGCGCTGGCCGTGTACCGGCATCTGTAATACTCTTGGACAGGCGACAGGGCCGGGGGCGGTTACGATGGGCGTACTTAGCATGTTGGCGATTTTTTTGTTTGCGCAACACTCATTGCTAGAATATGTGGAGCGGTGGGGGGGTGGTCCTCGGCGGACGGGCGATCGGTCAAGGTTTTGCTTTGGAACGTGACACATTTGACTGTTTGGGTGCGAGAAACTAGTTCAAGCTGTGCGTCCTTCAACGTCTTGGCCAAATGTCGGAAAACTTGCGGCTCCAAAATATGCTTGCTCACACATAAACACAGAGCCACGCACACACATACGCAAGTACACAAATCGCATATGTGAGTAGGCATACAGATACACATACATATGTATGATTTCACTTACCTGAACTGTGAAAATGTTGCAATATTGTGTTTTGGATAATGCACAATCCGGCCCTACGGCTGGGAGTACACTGTTCGTCTAATTTGATACTATCTAAACTGTTTAAACGGAGGATGCTTGATGTTGACACCGAGAAGCAACCATTTTTATAATTGAACCAAATGTTTTTTGTTGTTCGGCTGCGGTTTGGCTGCAGTTCTATCGATGATAGTACCGATAGCCACACATACTGTCGAATATATATTCGATAGCTCAAACGTCAGTTGACGAAGAGTATCGATGCTACGGCTGCAATTCGACCATCCAAGTATCGATAATTGGTATTTAAAAAACATGGTCAATTTATTAATCCCATCATGTGTAATCGATGCTTAGTTAAAAATAATTTATTAACTAAAATATCTTTATTTTTATTCAAAAAATTCTTTACAATTTATTCAAAAAATTATATTTTGGCGCCAATTGTTATCGAGATGCCAGTTTCCGGATGCAACCCTACTTTGCTAGAAGCATCGAGAATTTTCGACGAGCAGACTGCTCCGAGTCTATATAAAGGCAAGGCACGCTGTCATTTCGACTCATTTAGCAAAAATCAGAGAAACGTATAACTAGTGTGTAGTTCACACAAGAGAGAAATAAAAAAAAAAAAACAGTATATAAAAGACAATATTAAGTAAAGATTTTTAAAAATATAGTGAATTCTATAACTGTGATTAATAGAAATTCGTGTAGCAGCTAAATTTATAAGTTTATTGATCAGTAAAAGTAAACTTAGAAGGAGAATTTTAACAAGCAGCTGCCAAACTAATAAAGGTAAATGTCTAAGCAATGAATTGTAGCTTAAAATAGATTGTTTTCGACCTGCATTTTGGACGATCACAAGCAAATTATAATAGAAATGAAAAGCAAAACATTGCATTTAAGCAAAATTTGAAATTTAAAACCTAAATACGACATCGTCGACGTCACGCGTTGAGTGACAACACAGCAGCAGAAGCAGAGACTGAGGCAGCGACAGAGGCAGAGCTGCTTTCGTTGTCGTTGCACAACTCAAAGCTTCTAGCAAATTCCATTGAGCGACGCGTCGAGAATACAATCGACACACTCGTCTTTGCTGTTGTTTTTGCTTTACATTCAAATAAATCTATATACGTAGATGTGGACGTGTGTTATATTTCACATCATAATAATTGTGTGCTTTCTTTTATTTGTTTGCAGTTAAGTGCGCGGCGCTACAGTAAAGCAAAATGGGAAAAGATTTCTACAAGATATTGGGCATTGACAAGAAGGCCACAGACGACGACATTAAGAAAGCGTACCGAAAATTGGCACTCAAATACCATCCGGATAAGAACAAGAGCCCACAGGCCGAGGAACGCTTTAAGGAAATAGCCGAGGCGTATGAAGTGCTCTCAGATAAGAAGAAGCGCGACATTTACGATCAGTATGGCGAGGATGGCCTCAAGGGCGGTCCACCCGGCCAAGAGGGAGGCGGTCCATCGGGCGCTTACACTTATCAGTTCCATGGCGATCCACGTGCCACATTTGCCCAGTTCTTTGGCTCACAGAACATCTTCGGTACGGCTGATCCGTTCGGCCCATTCTTTGGTGGCGGCTCCGGTGATGGTACCGAGCAAGTCTTCATGAACATTGGCGGCGATGAGATGTTCGGCGGTGGCGGCTTTGGTGGCAACCCCATGGGCGCCTTCCGCTCACAATCATTTAACGCACAGGCGCCTAGCCGGAAGCGACAGCAACAGGACCCGCCCATCGAACATGATTTGTATGTGACGCTGGAGGAGGTTGACAAAGGCTGCACAAAGAAAATGAAGATCTCGCGCATGTCAATGGCCACGGGCACGGCACGCAAAGAGGAAAAGGTGCTGAGCATCAATGTAAAGCCTGGCTGGAAGGCAGGCACCAAGATCACATTCCCCAGAGAAGGCGACCAGGCACCACAGAAAGTGCCCGCGGACATCATCTTCATCATACGCGACAAGCCGCATTCGCAATTCAAGCGCGAGGGCAGCGACCTGCGCTACGTCGCGCCGGTCACTCTGAAGCAGGCGCTGTGCGGCACCACGGTGTCGGTGCCGACGCTGCAGGGCGACAGCGTACGTATACCAATCAACACGCAGGGCGAGGTGATCAAGCCCACGACAGTGAAACGGATTAGTGGGCGTGGCTTACCTTTCCCTAAGGAACCATCGAGGCGCGGTGATCTGATCGTCTCATTCGACATCAAGTTCCCCGACTCAGTGTCGCCCAGTTTAAGGAATAAACTGGCGGAGCTGTTGCCCAACTAAAATCGAGGCCATGTTAAGGCTTAACAACCACCTTCTGCGAAATTTTGTATAGTATATTTTATAATTTAAGCTCGTAATTTTAGTTAAGAATCCTTATCCTAATTAATAATGGGAACACAAAATTCATTTGTCGGCTTAGGCTTGAGATGATGTTTAAGTGTATAACGAACGCATAGCATGCCAAAACTATGGTTAAGAATTTCCCTGTTTATTATATATATAACTACCTTCCCCACTTAGTACCGATGTGTAGTTATAAGTGCAAATGCGACATAAGAATCGAGATCGCGCGATAAAATAAGATAGAATACAAAACACTGATTCACTTACACACCATAAGATAGCTGAAAGTGTTTTGAGCTGGAGAGACTGATCGGTTACCTAATTATGTAAATTTAAAAATAGAAAAGAAAACACCAAAATAAATTAAATTATACCAAAATTGAAACCGTTTCCCCTAATGTAATTATCCACTAATAATATTTGCATCAATTCAAACTGTTTTTCCAACAATAACTGAAAAGAACAAAACACCTCCGCTCTAAAGCACCTGGGCTATTTATTAAACATCAAACAAAAACAAATATGATTAAACTAGTACGTTTTAGTACGATAATTAATTGTAAAAATATGAACGAAAAAAGTATTTAATAAATTAATATCAATTATGTTAACAAGGCTTTAATTATACAGTTGGGAGAGTCAGTTTACTAAAAGACTACAGCTTGGTGGATATTTCTTTTCAGCAATTTGCATCTTTCGCTGCGATTCTATCGGCGTCTTCTACTTTCTAGAAACTTCGCACGTTTCTTTGTGAGCAACGTCGAGACGCTTCGTTCTGCCTGCATCTGGAAATTTCTCTTACGTCCAATGTGATTTTCGTTTTGTGGGAACTGCTCATAAGTATTAGCATCTAGAAATCTCTGCGAACAAGCGTTGCACTAATTGGAGCTGCAGTATTTTGAAATTAAATTTGCTTTCTAAATATATTAGATTGTGAATAAAAGTAGGCTAATATGTAGGAAAAATATGCGGGAATAGCTGGCTAGATGAAAAATGGAAGAAAACATGCGAAAAGTAGTAAATAAATATATTTAAAAATTTTTTTTACATTTTTTTTTTTCAATTTATTTATTTATTGTTTTGTTCATAATAATAATAAAATAAAAAATCAATCACAATAATTAGGCTCATAATACATGTTGATTTAATTTCTGACTCTATTTATTATTTTTTTTTTTTATTAATTTGATATGAATTTTGCAAACTCTGTTGGATAAAATAACTAGCGCGCCAAAACAACCGTCAGGAATAACAAGTAGGCTAGTATTTCCTTTGAATATTTCATCCAATTAATTCTTCTATTTCCTCTTAGTTGTTCTTTTTAGTATTACGTTTTTCCTTTTATGTATTTCCCCTTATGTATTTTTAAAATATAAAAATTTCCTTTGAGTATTTTCTCAAATTCTTCCCTCCGTCTTTCCTCTTACGTATTTCTTAAGTATACGAATTTCCTCTGACTTTATAATCCGCAGCTGAATGATAACTTCACTGCAATTCACTTTATTGCACTGCACTACTGATCCTCACCAGGCCTGGGCTGACTGAAAAAATGATACAGTTGCAGCCATTTATATAGGGCGACTGTCACTCAGACCCGAATGTTGAGACTCAAACGTTGAGCCCGAAGCCAGGTAGGAGTCGTTGAGGTCGAGCCTTAAGTGACCAATGAGAACACTCTCTGCTGCTGTGAGTATTCTAGCCTCGTTTTACTCAAATACAAATGCCAAATGAATACTGCCGCATACATACACACTGCTGTAGTTCTTCTTCGTCCATTGCTTATGTAAGGCAGACAGACAGAGAGACAGCCAGACAGGGACACATATTACAGGCAAGCATACATATGTATGTATATACATATGCAGTTTCTTGTGCTCGCTCTATAGTTCTCTTAAGGACTCCCATACTCATTTTATCGCTTTCAAATAGGCTAGATCTAGCTGGAAATAGGCTAAACTAAAAACGATTTATATTGTAAATATGTAAACCCCATTAATAAATAAAAATACAATTTTGATTTTTTTTTTACTTTCACATTTTATTTTGTTGTTTTTTTTTTTTTTTTTTCATTTCAAAAGGATTTTTGTAATTTATTCATTTTCACATATTTTCACTTTCCTTACTTTGAGTGTTTTGTTGATTTGCATTTTGCAATTGTATAATAATTTTCGTTTTTGTCATTGTGTATTACTTGTATATTTCATTTCATTTTGGTTTTCTTCTTGTTCTTTTCAAAAATTATTAACATCGATTGCATGTTGTTGTTGTTGTTGCAGTTGTTAATTATATATCATAATAAAAATTGAATTCTTTAATGCTTGTTACATTTTGTTAGTTTTATAACTAGAATTGTTTTTTGCTGTTTAACTTGTTGTTGTTGTTGTCTCTATTGTGTGTGTGTGTGTTCAATTAACTTGCATATGCAGGTGTATGTATTTGTGTGTGTGTGTCTCTGTTTCTGCCTTTCTCTTAGTGTAATACGCTTGCTTTTATTTAACATTTCTTTTGTTGTTGCCATCTTTCGCTATCCAATGCTGCTTCTGCTCTATCCAAAGTAAATGTGCGAATAATATCAATCAAAATGAGACGAATAACAATTGTATAAACAAACTAAAAGACACATACACATACTATTAACAATTGGGTAAGGCAGAGAGAAGCGGCCTGAACTAAACTAAAGAAGTACCATGCGTACAACTATACATATATTAATTCATATACATATACATATGTATATATATTTATGTATATATTTAAAATGCATTAAAAATAGTCAAATGTGTACAAAAATGTTTATACTATTTCGAATGATTTCAATATATATATATATATACTTAAATGTCTGCTGCTTCTTTCTCTTTTTTTTTTTAATTTAACTATTTCATTTGACTAAAGTTTCCTCCCAGCAAGAAACTGCGACTGTTCTGCATTTCGTTTTTATTTTATTTATTTCTTTATTTGTTGTCAAACTTATATAAACAGTAAAAATTATGTTAAAATGTTTGTGATTTGTTGTTGCTTCTTCTTCTTTTTGTTTGATTAACATTCATTCATTTTATCAATTAGACTGTTGTATATTGTATTATTATATTGTTGACTCGATTTTTTCATGCTGCATTTTAATTGAAGTTTGTTTTTTTTTTTACTTATTTATTTTTGTTTAATTTAATTTGATTGGAAACCTAAAAATGATTTTGTTTTCTTTTTTTCTTTTTTGATTATGTTTCGATTTTGTTTCTGTGTCTGAGGATTTGACAAAATGAATGCATGGTATCCATATCCACACTCCGGTACACTGACAGACGTGCAGTGAACACCCGCTATGATGAGCTCGCATTTTGAAATTCATTCAGCAATTGGTTTTAGTTTAGGTTTTTATTTTTTATTTTTATCTGTCTGATTCGAATAACATTCAAACGGCATTCACAACCAATATAATTATTATTTTTTCATTAACAAATATTAAAAAAAAAACAAACATTTTTTCTAAAATGAATTTGAAATTTTTTGTGCTCAACTTTTGGGTTTTGTTACTATGGAATTTAGCTATGCCTGTATTTGTTTTTCTTGCTGTCGAGTGAAGTTCTTAATTGTTAATTATATTATTGTAATTTAGCTAGAAGAGTGTTCCATTTCGTTTTTGTTCTTGTTTTGCTTTCTGTGTATAGTTTTGTTTCTTCTATATTTATTTACTCATGTTCTTTCTCTTTCTTTAGTTTACTTAAATGTTTTTCTTTTTTTTTTTCTTTCGCGATTAACAAGTTTAGTTTTTGTTTTGTTGTATTTGGCTGCTTTTTGGGATTTGTAATCCTCAACTCGAATTCGAATTCGAATTTCGTTTTAGTGTATGTGTGTGAGTGTGTGTTTAAGTGTATGGAATTCTCTTTGTTTTTGTTTCTTTTTCATTTAGTTAGTATTACTTGTTAGTTTAACATTTTGACTAAATTTGTTCTATTTTGGTTTTTGTTTGTTTAATGCATGTGAAGTTTTCTTGTTTTATAATTGGGTTTTCTTTCAGTGTACTTACTACAAACTAAACATTTTGCTGTGTTTGTTGATTTGCTTTTCGTGTTTGCTTAACTCTCTAAGATTTTGCTCATTTATTTTTTATTTATTTTAATTGTTTTTTAGAACGTTTGTGTAAAGTTTGCATTTTAAATATGTGTGTTTGGTTTTTTTTTTTTTAATTATTTTATTTTTGTATTTTTTTTAATGTTTTTATTTTTGTTTTTCATTTGAAATTGTCTAAGCCTAAATACAATCAATGTTTCAATTTGTTCACGTTTTTCTCCTCAATAAATGTATTTTAAATCGAAATTTACTTTTCAAGTCTTTTTCAGCGACAAATGCATTTGAATTTGTTCACATTTATTTAATATATTTTATTTTAATTCTTATTAAATTGATTCTTTTTTCTGTTCAAAATCCTTTGCTATAATTATACGTTATTATATGTGTTCGCACATTTAAATACAATCGATATTATATAAATCAAAGTCTTTTGTATTTGTTGTTCCATTCATTCAAAAAACGTAAACAAAAAACAACAAACGTCTTTCTTCTTCTTCTACTTCTTCCTCATTCGATGTTTTACTTAATTTCGAAAGTTTTTCACGTTTTCGAAAGCAACTTTAACAATTTCATTCAGTATTTGAAGTATTTAATAATAAATAAATTGTAAATCTTATTTTGTAGTTGCTTTGATTTTCTTTTTCATTTGCGGGAAAAGGGGTGAAAAAGTGTTAGTTCGTATTGTTAGTGTGTGTGTGGTTTTTCTTGCAGTGTATACACTGTTCTCCTTACACTTGATTAGTTAAAATGTAACAAAAGAAATGTAGTTACTTTTACTTATTTCTCGTTTTTATTCATTATTCATTATTTGTATTTGTTTTGCTTTTTCTGTTTTAATTTTTCACATCGTCTTTGCGGGTTGTTGACTGTGGATCTGTGCCTAAATTTATCATGTCTCGTGGTTTCCACACCGGGGACCCTACAATTAAATGAAAGAAAAAAGAAAAGATACAATGGAAACCATATATGGAAAAAATATGAAATTTTCTTCAGAGAGTTGAGAGTTTCTGAGAAGCGGCAAGAGTGAGAAGCTCTCCATGTTTAGTATTTGTTAAAAATATTTTCAATTTTTCGTGTTACAGCTTAAAGAATCGGCCAATTTATTGTCGAAAAGCATGCAAGCGCCGAGCGTTGAAAGTATTTGAAATCATCTTTAAGTTCATTCAGATTCGATCGAAAATACTTTCCACGTTCCGCAATTTATCTTAAATAAAATATAAGCAAAACTAATTTATTTTTTGTAATGCATAAGAATGAAAACTACTTTTTGCTCGTTGGCTACTTAAGATGGGGCTTAGCGGGGTGGGGTTAGGGTTGAGGGGTACTGCAACAGCTAAGCTAGAAATTAACTAATTAAAAATTGGTATCCAAGTTAAATTTAGTTTGTTTTTGGATCAAGTTTAGTTCTGTGGGTTATTTGGAAAATGTTGACATCGCTTGGTATTCATTTTTGTATTACTGTTTTTTCTTTTATATAGATATATAATATATATCTATAGATAATACATATATATATTTGCATTTGAATATTTAACAAATTGTTCGAATTTAATTTTTATCAGTTTTGCATTTTATGCCAACATTTTTTTTCTTGTATCTCTGTATTGTGTTTTGGGTCAGAAATGAAAGGAAAATAGTAAGCACGTTGTAGTCGGGCAGTGCCGACTGCAGAATACTCATTCACGGCCCAAACTCTACCAGATCCAATATAAATTTAATAGAGCAGGAGCGATTTTCTAGCTCTGAAACGGATTAACAAAAACACGGACAGTGCACAAAACCAATATGCTCATTTCACGTTCGAGAATGAGTATAAAAATATAATTACAAAACTCTTTTTATGAGAGAAAGAAAGAGAAGGAGAGATAGTGGAAAGTGCAAGAAGTTAGAGTAACTGCAACAGCTAAAATTTTAATTGAGCTTTATGAATTTTATTTTTAATTTGTTTTTAAATTATTTCAGGCATTGTTGGGCTTATGAGGGCTTTTTTTACACAAAAATGCAATGGAAACGCAAAATAAAATTTTGAATTTTTTATTTTTTTTTTCTTTGCCTTAAAAAATGTTTAAAAATGAGAGAGTAAGAGAGAGATAGAAAATGAAGGAAAATCGTGGAGGTTTTTGGTTCGTTGTGGGGACACGTGTGTGTAACCATAAGACATTTATATACTTTATATATATATATATTAATTATATAATGTACTGTTTTTGTTAATGTTGTTCTTTTTTTCATAAATCTGGCACAGTTGTCTGTTTATTGTTTTGTTTGTTTGTTTTGGTATAATTATAAGAAAATGCAAAACAGATTATTGTAAAATGACGAAAACTGTTTAAAAAGGGTAAAACTTGCTTCATTTCCATTTGCAATTTTAATTGATTTTTGTTTAACTGTTTTTTTTTTTTAAATAAGTTTTTAATTCATTAATTATTAATTAATCAAGCGATGCCAACTAAATATATATGTAAATATATATCAATATATTTAAGTGTTGTTATATGTTGTTGTTTTGCTGTTGCTGTTGTTGTTGCTATTGTTGATTTGTTTAGCTAATCAAGTAACTGTATCGCTTAGGCTTACAACCTATACAAACTTAAATATGTTTTACCCATATATATGTATATAAATATATAATGCATAAATCAAAAAGAAATGAATTACTTTTGGTTACTGAATTATATATAATATACATACATATATATATTTATTTGTATTTGTATTATCTTCAAGATAATGTTTAACAATAACAAAAATTAAATATCACCCGTTAATTTGTTTAACTGCTAATTTGCATAATATAATTCATAATTTGTTGCTATAATTTACATTAGAAAATAAATCAAAAATTAAAGCACTTACCTGCTACAAAAATTAAGCAAATTTTTATTAATTAACTAATTGAAGTATTTTTCAAATTTGTTTGTATTTAGGGCGGCTACAACATAACTGTTCTGTAGAGTGAGGGTGCTTGGGTAAGGGTTGGGGGGTGAGGGGCGTTGTCATGTCATTTAGTCGCTGTCCGTAGAGCACATTGACATTAATTTGCATTGTCGTTTAATTAGTTATTCCGTTTAGCTTAGTTTAGTTTGCCTTTGCCATATTTGTGAGCTTAATTAACATTTGATTTCATTTCATTTGATTTGATGTTTTTTGCTTTGTTGATTTTAGAGCTTTTCGATTATTATTTGATTTTGATTATTTATTAAGTGGTATACGGTTTTGCCTCTTTGACAATTTTGTATTGATTTTAGCGATAAATTTATATTTTTCAAGAGATTATTTTGGCATTTATTACTATTTTGTTTTGAATTTTCGCTCGTGATATTTAAATTGTATTTTAGTTATTTATTTAGCCATGTATTTATGTATGTTTATTTATGTCTTGTATATAGTTAGTAGTATATGTATGTTGTCTTATAAATTGTATTTCGTATATATTTTGATTTTTAGGTTTTTTGATTTTACTGCTGTGAAGCCCAGTGTAAACTGTAAACATTTGTAGATACTAAGGAATTTATTTCTATTCATTCGTTATTTATTTACTTTTGTTGACTATTTTTGAGTATAGCTTGAACAACCTGACATTTGATCTTTAAGTCCGTTTTGGGTCTCTCTATGTATATAGTACTATATATGCATATATCTATTTTTTGTTTTGTTTGCCTGCAGTTATTAGACACCCAAACCTAAGCTAAATATTTATTTAATGTATGTTATGTTTTGTTTATTTATGCGAGCGAGGCAAGAGTTGAATATTTTGAGAGTTTGGGAATTTATTTGGTATATGGACTGTTTGGAAGATCTTTTGGGTCATATGATCAGTTGCCCGCCCGCCTGTCTGCCTGCCCGCCTGCCAGCCCTGATTGCTAGTGTATATTTATATCTATAGCCTCATTTAGGTCTAGATATAATTGCATTTGCATTTTTAAATTGTTTTTGATTTTGGTTTTTATTTTAATACATAAACATTGAGGTACGACTTACGATTATCATTCTTCAATACGATTTATTTGCATTTGCATTAATTGTTTACCTGTTAAATTTGCCTATGAAAAAATGTAAGTGATTTGCATTTGCAATTTATTGTAATGAAATGTTTCATGCAAAATTATTTGTCACAACACCCACACATATATATATATTTTTTGACAATTCGGTTTTGATTTCTTTTTCGTTTGTTCTAACTAGCTACGGTAAATATTGATTTATATTTGCATATTTATTGTTTGCTTTAAGTAGTATCCATGTATAATGTTAACCTATAGAATGTTGCCAACCCGCATTTTTCACTTAGTCTTTAGCTAAAATACGCACAAATATTTTTGTGCCTGTCTGTCTGTGTGACTGCCTACTCCTGCTAATCCTGCGCCTAATCCACCTACGTCTCCTTGCCTTGCAATCATTTCTCCGTGGTAATTAAAAAGTTTTCCTTACGTTCCCGGAAATGCCAGTGACACAGTTTGCCCAGCTAATAGTTGAAATGACTGACATTACCTACAACTTTTATCCTATATGTAAGTATATATGTGTAATGTATGTGTCTGTGTGTGTGTGTGTGTGCGTGTTTGTTAGTAAGTTGCGCTTGCATGTCTCTTAGTTTACTTGAGTGCGAGTATGAATTTCAACTTTATAGTTTTTAGTCGTAATTACGCCACTTGAGCATTGTGTGCAACGCGGCGTATGCGCCATGTGCGTATACGTAATGCAGCAGCAGCACATCCGCTTCTTCTCGAACTTTTTCTATTTCTTCTTCTATTTTTTTCTTTTTAATATAAATCATAACCTTACAAATTACACAGAACATTTGCATATTCTCTCATTCTCTCTGTGTAAATGGGAAATAATTAACCTGATGTGCCACACACACACATACACCCATATATATGTATGTCTGTCTGTGTTTAAGTTGTGCTGTAAACTTGTAGTTGTAGTTGTTGTTTTTTTTTGGTTTTCCTAAGCGCTAAACCAATAGCTTTTGCTGACTTAAACCTAACACTTAAACATGACTCTTAACTGTGCTGTTGTGTGTGTGCGAGTGTGTGTGTGTGTTTATTTTTCAATCCCTTGTGTTCAAGTTTTGATTATTATTTTCTCCATATTTGTATATTTATATATAGTATATATATAGTTTGCATTGCAGCTTACGTATATGTTAGTATTTTTTGTTGTAGAGCTGAGCGGTTTTTTGTTTGTTTTTGTTTATTGTTTATTTAGTTTTGGTTGTATAATTTTTGAGGCATTCTGGGTTGCTGTTGTTGTTGTTGTTGTTGCTGTTATTTATGTTATCTTTGGTTGCGCTTTTGTAATGAGTTTTGTTTTAACTACTCGTAAATTTAAGCTTGAGTTCAACGGTCTCATAAAATCCCTGTTTATGTATCTCATCCTCACTCGATTTGTATCCCGTCGCCTGCCCTTAGACATGGATCTCGAAGTAGTCGTGGCAGTCGACACAGCCGCCCGCCGGGTCACCGCCCATGTCCGGCATGTAGCCAATGCCACCGCTGGCCGTCGGCTGTGTGCTAACCACCATGCCGGGCATTCCTGGCATTCCGGGCATGCCGCTCAGTCCGCGTGGCGTCTTCTTCCGCGTGCGACTCTGCCGCACGCGGGACTTATGCTAGGAGGGTCGCTTCTGGTACAGACAGTCAATGCATGTGGTGTACTCGGGCGCCGAGGAGCTGAGCTGGTAGACCGACTGCTGGGCGGGATCATGCTGACAGCCGGCCATGGGCATGGGCATCGGCGGCGGCTGGCCATAGCCGGCCATCTCCATTTCCTGCATGTAGTTAACCATGGGCATGTACTGCTGTGGCGGCTGCCTGGGCAGCGCGTCGTAAATGGGTTGCGAGAAGGTGTTCTCGGCGGACTGGGAGCGCAGTGGCCCGGAGCTGTAGACGACATAGTTGCGTTCGGGCGAGACGCCGTAGGCGCGATACGAGCTGCTTGTGGTGGTGCTGTCACGCGAGGTGGAGCGCTCCAGCGACTTGCTCAGCCGGCTGCGCCCGTTGCCCGAGCCGTAGCGGCTGCTAGTGGGCGCGGCGGCCACATAATGATCGCTGCACGTCTGATTGTCATAGACCGGATAGTACTGATATGTCTCCTGGGCGTGCGGCTTGGTGCCCGTCTCGAAGCTGCCGTGGGCAGACATGCTGCGCTTGCGTGAGCCACCGCCGCCGTAGGGCACATCCAGATTGTGGTCGGAGCCGCCGTGGCTATCGAAGCTGCTGCGCGGCGAATGGCGCTGGCAGATGCTGGCCCGATCGGGCGACAGGTGGTCTACGCTGCCACGCGGCGAGATGCGGGGCGACAACGATGCCGTCCCCGGCTCCGAGCTGCAGACGTGCGAGGGACCGCTCTTCTTCAGGCAGCTGCGATCGGGACTCTTCGACTTGGCCGGGCTGGCTGGCGGCTTCAGGATGCCCCCGCCGGGACTTGTGTGCTTCAGGATGCCGCCGCCCTCGGAGCTGCGCCGTGGACTGGGCGTGCGTCGTCCGCCGGAGAGGCGATCTTGCGAATTCTCGCGACTGGAGCAGATGCTCAGCCGTTTGCCCTGCTCGCTGACGCTAGTCCGCGGCGATTTGATCTTTATGATGCGCACCGGGGAGCTGCCCTGCGACTTGCTCCGATCTGGTGAGATGTATATGCTCTGACGCTTGCCGCTCTTCGGCTTGCTGCCCGTCGCAGCGCTCGCTCTCTCTGGCGACTTGGCCTTGAAAATTTTATCCACCTTCTTGTCGATGACGACGATGTGCGAGGCCAGCGAGCTGGTCGGCTCGTCCTCGGTATCATCGCCGGAGCGCTCCGAGGGCCCAGTTGTATTGCCGCCAGTGCTGTCCGATTCGGTGGCTGGCCGCGAGGGCGACTCAATGTCCACGGTCACGATCTGCTGAGTGTTCTCCACAATGGTCTGGGGCTCGGGCGAGAGACTGGAGTCGTTCTGCTGCTGATCGGCTGCCTCGTCGCCGGCGTCGGTCGGCTCGAAGGCCTTCTCGCGCAGATTGGCCATGTAGGTGGCAATGTCGCATATGCCCGCCGCCAAATCCTCCTGCTCCAGCTCACACAGATGCTTGTCCATGAATCGAGTGGTGGCATCCGTTTCGCTCGCATGGCCGCTGGCACCTGAGCCATTGCTGGCATCGCGTTCGCGTCGCTTGTGTTGCGCCTCGCCGCCGCGCGGATGCTGATGCACTACGGCCACCTGCTGGGAGGCGGCCAGGCGCTCCGCTTCGCTCTCGAAGATCTCAATGACCTCGATCTCCTGCTTGGGCGACTGGCGAGGCGACTGGCGCGGCGACAAATGTCTTGGGGTCTGGCTCTGGCTCTGGCTCTGGCTCTGTGCTTGGGTCTGGGTCGTGTGGGGGGTCAGAGTGGGAGTCGGTGTCGTGGTCGGTGTCGAGGTGGTCGGGGTCTGATTTGGTTCAGTGTCGCTACAGATTGTTGTTGTTGTTGTTGTTGTTGCTGCGAACAAGCTACCACTACTGCCTAGACTTAGATTAAACGTGGCTGCCACGTGCACCGCATGCGCCTCGGACTCCGACTCGTGCTCGGACTCGCTGGCAACTACATCTAGGCTGCTCTTACCTAGATCCTTCATTAGCACCGGCTGATAGCTGGCCGGCGGATGCGATGATTGTATCAGGCGCGCCTGGCTGCCAGTGCTGCCCACCGAGAGCGTCGATGTGGTGCTGCACGATGTGATAATAAGTAGGAAGAGACGGAGAGAGAGAGAGAGAGAGAGAGAGAGAAATAGCAATAAATCAAGCGATAAAGGAGATTTACGAGGAGTTCAAGTGAAACAACTACCAGACCCTTGGCCAGATACTCTCAGGATAATTAATGAAAGCTCATTCAATTCGATTCGCATTCGCTTTCGCTTTCGCATTCGCATTCGCATTCAATTACTTTCGCTTCTATCATCTGGCAGTTATTTCGGCATGGCAATTACTACAGAGCGAAGGCCATTTGCCTACTGAGATTTGGAGCTCACCTGAGCGTCAGGTGATTGGGCGTGCGGCCCAGCGTAGCCTTGGGCCTGATTGTGCCCTGCTGTGAGTCCTCCTCGCCCTCCGACTTGGTGCCCGGATCGATGCGCTCAATGTCGCTGCTGTGATGATGTAAATGCGGCTGCCTGATGGGTGGCGGCGGTGGCTCGCGCGGATGTGGATGTGGATGCGGCGCCATTGACTGTTGCTGCTGCTGCTGCAGCTGCTGCTGCTGCTGCTGTGGCTGCTGCGAATCTGTGGGCGAGCAAATGATTTCTTTATGTGGGTGTGTGCGTGATGCGATGATGCGATGATATACGATATGTACTCCGATTATTAGCCAGCCTGCTGTGGATGACGAGCTGCTCCACTTACCTGTCACATCGCCCAGCGTCTTGCTGCGACTGCGAAAGCCGCCCGGCTGTGGCAGCGGCTGTTGCTGTAGCTGCTGCAGCTGCTGCTGCTGCTGTTGCTGTTGCTGCTGCTGCTGGGATTGGGGTACATAGTGCACCATGCCGCCCACGCTCGGCGGTAGATCGTCGCCCTCCTGGCTGCCCGACAGATTGTCGTAGTCAATATTGCCCGCCGAGTGGCGCTGCGAGCCGGACTTCTTCTTCGGCTTGCCCAGCGTATGCGAGCCATGAACGATGGTGATCTGTGGAGTGCATTAGAGGATTAGCACCTGGTCAGGGGCGCTGCCTGAGCAGCTGTGCTCCAACTTACCTGCTGCTTGGGTCGCTCCAGCGTCTGCGAGTTGCCCGCATAGCCGCCCATTTGGGAGGACATGCCCGAGACGGAGCCGGAGCTGCCGCCAAAGTTCTTCATGGGAATTGACATGTTGCGCACGCTCTCGCGGATTATCTGCCTGATGGTCTTGAGGAATGCATTGCGAAAATCGGCGGTGCTATTGGACAGCACGTAGACCTTCTCCGAGCGGCGCTGCAGCTGCGAGCGCAGGTGTATTAGCTCCCAGAGGAAGTGCGAGTCCATGTCCTTGGCCGAGCTGGCGCGCACCTGCACCTCGGTGACGGGTATTAGCACCTGATACCGTATGATTTCCACCTCATTTGGTGCATTCTTGCTCGAGACGCCCTGTGCGAAATGTCATTTAGTATCCCATTTAAATCGAGTCCTTGGGCCGGGCCATTTACTCACCATTAGCTTCTTCTTCTGGCGCAAGCGCTCCTTGCAGAGGAACACAACCGCCGACTTGAATACAAAGCACATGGCATGCAGCTCGAGGCCCTTCTTGATCTTGCCCAGAAAGTCGGAAATGTTTAGCCACTCGACGCCGCCGTAGTAGAGCAAATCGCCTGGGAATGCACAGCATTGCGGGGAAGGAGCATTGGCATTGGCATTTGAGGCTGATGTAGCTATTGAATGCGTTTGGCGTAACCCACCTGGACTCAAATCGATGGGCTGCTTGCACGACTTCTGATGCTGCCGGAACAGATGATCGAAAATGGCGCCATATTCCTCATGAATGCGCTGCATCTCATTGATGTGCTCCGCTACCTTCTCCATGCCCTTGAGTGCCTCTGTGGAGATGCGAAGCCGCATTAGTATTGAAAGGGCTCAAGAGTCATCATCCCCCATCCCCCATCCCAACTTACCACACAGGTGGACGTGCTCGTCGGCCCGCGTATCTGTCAGATTGCGCATCTGCTGCAGCAGCAGCGGATACTTGAGGATGCGTTGGATGGGCTTGATCAGATACGATTCCAGAGTGCTGCTGTGCTGCTGCTTGGGATTGCGTGCGGCAAGGAACTCCTGCAGCGCATGGTTGCCCTCATCTGCGGCAAATGAGACAATTTCGAATGGTGCTTAACGATTGCAAAAATTGTGATAAATTTGGCAAATGATTTGATTTCAATGCACACTTCAATTTCCATTAATTGCGACACAAAGGCACAGCGAGAGAGAGAGAGAGAGAGCGAGAGAAAGAGAGAGGGCAATAGGCTTCACGTGCGCAACGTTGACAAGAAAATGTCATTAACTTGTTCTTATAGCCAGCTGAGAAGCTTTTGATAAAGGCACAGTCAAAGCCTGTCTGTTGCACGGATTTGCGTCTAATGGTTGACATTCCCGCCTCCCACTCCCGCTCTCCCACTCACTCCCGATCCCTGCTCCTGCTGGCTGCCAGCTGCTTGCTGCTTTTGCCTGCTGCTTGTAACGAAGGCACTTAAGTGCACTTCTTGCTATAATTAATTATCCTTTCAACTTTTTGCATAAAATTGCATGCAACAGCCAAGCGCAGCAGCAGCAGCGGCAGCAACAGCAGCAGCAGCGGCAGCAGCTCGAGTGTCTGTCATACCTAAAGCTCAAACTTAAGTTGACAAACTGTGCTCCAGCTTTTGCTAGTCCTGCTCCTGCTCCTGATTCTGCTCCTGCTTCTGTTCCTGGCAGCTGCTTAGACAGCCATTGATTGCAAATATTGCAAATTTTTACCTTTACGATGTTACTGCTGCTGTTTTTCTTTTTTTGCTGTTGTCGTCGTTAATAAGTTACCTTTTTTTTACTTTTATGTAATTTTAATGCATTTACGGCGCTTACAGATCCCTCTCTTTGCCACTCAGTGACTTTGCTCAAGGTATTATAGAAACATTATTAACTTGTTAAGCATTAAGGAAATCTGCTGTTAGGCTATTAGGATTTAAGTGAACTTTAGTGCTTCGATTTGCACTGAGCTGAATTAATGGATTATAGTTGAGTTAGTAGAGACTTTGCTTATAAAGAAATCGTTAAACACTTGCAGCTGGCATTCTGTATGTCAAGGAATGAGTTCATCAAATACTATCTGCTATAGAACAATTTTAATATTATATGTATCGAATCATTTAGTATTTTTCTTAAGCTGCATTTACTTTTATCACTAGAGAAATCTCTTCTAAGTGACATGTCTTCCCTTCCAAATCCAACTCCTTTCCCCTGCTCTTATCACATATGTGGTAAGAGCATTTTTAATTCGTCATAGTCATAACCAACGGCTGCTGCTGCTGCTGCTGCTGCTGCTGCTGCTGCTGCTCCTGCTGCTTGTTTGCTCTCTTGCCGTCTGCTTCCCATTTGTGGCACTTGTGTTTGCTCGAGTGTTTTTAAGCTGCCACTAAGTCTAATTTAATTATGACATGTTGTCGCCTAAGCCAGACTCTCGCCAGGGAAGTCTGGTGTCCCGCTAGTCTCTGCAGTTCTCTCAGCAGCTGTTCCGCCCGTTTCGGCTGGCTCCGGCTGGCTTTTATGCGCCTCGTTGTTTGCGGGTTGGCTGCCACAGCCAGTGGCAACAGCGCGGCATAGTTTTTGGCAGCCCCCGCATTTGCCCACTTGCCCATTTGCCTGCGTGTCATAATTCTACAAGTTTAATTAACAAAAGATACTTGACAGTTGCTGCTGCTGCCGCTGCTGCTGCTGCTGCTGCTGCTGCCTTGGCATGAATATGAACATGCCACGCCTTGCCGCCTTGCACGGAAATTTGCTGCTTCGCCACGTCTACGCATTTGCGGTTGTAATTATTCATTTAACTTGCAAATCATTTAAAGGCTCAGCCTGTGGCAGGGGTGCAGCAGCAGCAGCAGCTGCGCCAGCCACTGTCAACAATTGAAGCGCATAGTTTGCCAATTGTTCGCAACTTGTCGCTTGTTTTACTTTTCACAACTTTTCCCCAGCAGCAGCACCCTTGGCCCGCCCCGCAGGCCCCTCCCCCACGGCAGTTCAGTAAACTTCAAACTCAAATAGACTTTGACGCTTTACGCTGATTGCAATAGTTGAGAGCAGCAGCCACACACACGCACTCCCACACACACACACATGGCTCATAATATATGGATTTATGCATATATGGTAAATACTTTTCTATCTGAATTGTCATGCGACACGTCTACAGAATTCTCCAGCCCTGCGCTCGTTCGTTCGCTTTGCATTACAGTTATACACATGTAAATGACTGCATGAAAACAAGCTAAAAGAAGTCTGTGGTTTTTTTCAGCCAGGCGCACGAGGCGTGTGAGTGATTTGGTTATGCATATGTCTGGTCATATATTTGTTGATTTCCATTACAGAATCAATACGGAAAAATCTCCACATTTTTGTCAATGGAAAATATATATATTTTTTAATAAACTTATACGTTAATTGAGTTATTCAACTGGACAGATATGTATTTAGTATTTATTTAAATTGGCTTACTCGGATTCTCTTAAAGCCAGATTGCTTTCAATCTAATGGAATTCTATGTAAATAGTTTCAATGTACTTACTTGGATGTAGAACCTTTTGGGCCTTGCTGTGGCTGGCGCAGAACGAGGAGTACAGCTTGAAGTGATTGACATAATAGAGAAAAGCCGAGCCAATCGCAAATAAGACGTTCTGTATGAGCGAGAGAGACAGAGAGAGAGAGAGAGTGGGCGAGAGAATGAGAACAAAAAGAGATTAAACATGAAAACAAATACACATACATAAGATAAGTCAAAGGGAATTGGAATTAGTTAGGCGAGTCACGCACACACATTGACGGATAAACTTACCCTGAACTGGCCGCAATGCTCGAATTTATTGAATTCCGGCTCAAGTTCGAGCGCCTCTTCGAGATTCTGGAGAAACTGACGCTGGAATGTAACAATCTCGTGTATGTTGCCGAAGAGCGCATTAATTTCCGCATTCGATAGAAACGTTTCGCGTTTCATGGGCTCCAGATAATGCTCCAGCAGATTGTTCAAGTGCTGCATGCAAAGAAGAAGAAAAACAAAGATTATAAAATAATTCAAATGTTTTTACACCCATCTGGTTGTTGCTGTTGTTGTTGTTGTTGTTGTTCAATAAATTCAAATTTGTTGACACATAAAAAATGAAAAATGAGTAAAGCAGCAAAAGCAACAACCAAAAGGAACAAAATAATATAAAACGAAATGAAAGAAAGATGCATAAATTAAATTAAAAAATCAGCAGCCCAAGAACGACGACAACTGCCCGCAACAGCGCCCCCACCCCCAAAAACTCCCAGCTGAGCTGAGCTCTGCTGCGCTGGGCTGGGGCTGGGACTGGGACTGGGTCTGAGTCTGGTGACCAGTTCTCTCGCCCGAACAACTTTTTAGTTTTACCCGCAACAACAACGTAGATAGACTCAAAAAAAAAGTAAATAAAAATATGGGCAAAAACTGTAGCATAGCCGCAGGCGCGCGCTTTCATTTGGAACAATACTTCCGGCCAGCGGATAGCTGGGAATGGGGACTGCAAATATGGCCAGGGGGCAGCGAGGGGGGCGCGCGAACGTCGTCGGGCTACTGCCAGAGAGATAAGACTCGCCGCAGCGGCGCGGCGCTTTACATAATTTCTAAATTATAATAATTATTTGTATGCTTCCTGGCGAACTCGAGAGGGCGTGGCTTCAAGCCAGAGCAGCCCACACAGCCGCATGGCTAAAGGATTAAAATTTGCATTTTTAATTGCGAGCCAACACTAATGAATGGAATGTGTAATATTTTTTGGCCGACAAGCCCTAGTCGAAGCCAGAGCCGAAGCCGAAGCCAAGAAATAATAGTTCTGGAAGGTGTTCAAATACCCTGCTGGCCAAGCCAGCTGCAGCCAGGCTTATGACGAGGCATTGCAGACGGCTGTGCAAGGATTTATATATGTATGTATATCTACTTAATCTTTTTCGTTTCATTTTGAATATGATATAAAAAACAACAAGAAAGGAATAGACGCTACAGGCGCATATAAAAAAACTGAGCTGAGGAGAAAACTAATTTGATAGGATAATATAATCGTAGAGTGAACTTACCTTGACGTAGGTGCGCTCCGTGTCCACCAGCTCCATGATGACTTTGCGCAGCTTCTCGGCATCGGTCAGCTGGCGCGATAGCGTTAAAGCTGTGGTCGAGACCGACGATGTGACTGAACCCGTGGGGCTCGATTTGCGCGTTTCCTGAGGTGAACGACAAAATCCGGTAACCTTAACAGGTCAGGGTTCGGTTGGGTTGGTTGGTTGGTTGGTTGGTTGGTTGATTGTTGATTGTGTTATGTTGTTGTGTTTGTTGTTGTTGTTGTTGTTGTTATTGTTGTTGTTGCATGATGAGGATCGTGAAACGAAAGAAACGAAACGAAAACGAGCGAAGCGACCACACAAAAAAGAGACACCAAAAATAAATGACAATAAACAAAAATGAAGTTAGCATGACAGAGATAGATAGACAGCGATAGTTAGAACAGGACGGATACGGGGGTGGGCTGGGCTGGGCTGGGCTGGGTCGTTTCAGGGCGTTGGGTTTGCTTGGACTGGGTCAAACTGTTGGCATGGGTCGTTCAGCTGAGTGCTGGCTGGCTGGCTGGCATTATTGTAGAACTCGCGGCGGCCACTTTAAACAGACAGACATAAACGTAGCCCCAGCGACGACGACGACGACGACGGCGACGACGACGGCAACGGAGGCGACGTCAGCTGCGGTTCTAAATGACTGTCACGTCCTTGTCGTAAGTCCAAGTTGGGGGCGTCGTTTGCTTGTTGTATCTGCTGTTGCTGTTGTTGTTGCTGTTGTTGTTGTTGTTGCTGTTGTGTTTTGTCCTCGGCAAAGTTGTTGCTGCTGCTGCTGCTGCTGCTGTTCGTGATGGTGTTGGTGTTGCTGTTTGTGTGCGGTTACAAGCACATTTGGCACTGACAGTTGACGCTTGACGGTTGACATAGAGTGTGTGTGCATACAACTACACCAAATAAACACACACACACACACACACACACACACACACACACACACACATACACAGTAGCACACACGTACAGTCACACACAGAGCTAACCACACAACCGCATTTTGCATAAAGTGTAGAGGTGCGCAAATCTTCAGCCTTCTTATGTCACTCGCACAGTGGTTTTAGGTCTCTCGGTTTTCGCTCAGTTTTGTTTTCTTTTTTCTGTTTTTTTTTTTTTTTTTTTGTTTGTTGTTCGTTCAAGTTTTCTTTCATTCGTTATGTTGTTTTTCTATTGGTTTAACTTTCTGTCATTATTCTTGCTGTTTTCTTCGTTAGGCAAAAGTGTTAAATGGCTCGTTGACCGGAACTTAGTTAAATTGACTTGCCACGCCCACCAAAATATTGAACGAATTTGCATTGTAAATGCCTAAACAAATATTTTTATACGCCCTGCGCTATCTGTCTCTGTCGCTCTCTCTCTTTTCCTCTATCTGTGTGTGTGTGTGTATTTGAGTGCTGTGCAATTTGCAAAAGGTCAGAGTTTAAATCAACAGAGCGGTAAACAGCAGCGCGACAGAGAGCGATAGCGATTGAGAGATGGCACATAAGCTTTACCACTGTGCTTGACAGGGCTCACAATGCGCCCTGCCCCAAGGAATGGCCAGTCATTGGCGATGACAGCGTGATTGAGTCAAAGGCTTAACTGTATACTGTTTGCGAATTTCAGCTGATAGCCGATATAGTTTGAACGCCAACGAAATTTAATATCGTTCTCATGCTGCCCACCTAGGGGGCGTAAGAGTTCAAACATGTGTGTGTGATTGCGAGATCGAGATTGCGCTCGTTTGATGTGTGTGTGTGAGTGCAACACTCACTGGCCTGCACGGCACTGCGCATGAGAGTAAGAGAGACAACACTTGTATATAGTTAGCCTGGCGCCATCTGTCCACAGAATACTGAAGCTCATGAAGAGCAGAAGCAAAAGCGTATGAAAACAACTCTTCGACGGCAGCAGCAGCAGCAGCGGCAGCGGCAGCAGCAGCGATGGCAAATACAAATAGCTCGAGGCTGCACAAGTAACTGTAAAATATGCTCAATTCTTTCGTGTACATCGATGTACATTAATATAAATGTAAATTTGCGCTTGTGTTTGTATTGTGCGCTAAATTGGCTGCTTTTTGTTTGCACTGAGCTGGCGCCATCTACCGTCGCAGTTAACCAACATTTTGTGTTAGATTTAAGTTGGAGAATATGGCAGAAAACCGCTGCAGCTTATAAATGCATCAGATGATGCCACGTTTGTTTTCGTGACTGATTGTTTTGTCACGTTTCCATCTCTGCACTCACTCACACACACACACACACACACACACACGCACATACTTGCTGTCTTGAAGACTTTGCCATGTAGTTGCAGCAACAATCTCATGAAATTTCAGTTGTCATTGTTCGTGCAACATTCAGTTGAATTGCTGTTGCTGTTGTTGTTGTTGTTGCTGTTCGCTGGCATTGTGGAAGAAGACATTTCACTTTTATGCAGTTGCACTTTGTGTATTATTGTTTCGTTCGTTTTTCTCCATGCATCTGTCTCTCTCTCTCTCTCTCTCTCTCTCTTCCTCGGCTCTGCCTTGGCGTTGTTGTGCAGCTTGTTCTTGTCTACTTTTAACTGTTTTATTGTTCTGCATTTCTTTCAGCTGCAACGTCGACGGCTGCGCCGCTGATTTGCATAAGCGGCGTCGGCAGCGGCAGTGGCAGCGGCAGCGGCGACCCAAAACCAACAAAGAGTAACACACAAAAGGGGCATGGACAGGGCTGAGAGGCGGGCTGGATGGCTGGCTGGCTGGCTGGCTGGCTGGGTTGCTAGTTGGGCTGTTGGGCTGGATGGCGGGTTTAGTGCGCCAGGTGAGCGGCTGAGGCAGCTTATGGGCCAGCTGCTGAGTGCCAACATTGTTGTTGCAGCAGCACTCATTGTTGTTGTTGCTGCTGCTGGCGTCATGCCCCAAAGATGAAAAATTTGAAAATTTCTTGAATTTCTTGGTGAGCTGCAGCAGAAGCCGCCACTGCCACCGCCGCCGCTGCTGCCGCTGCTGCTGCTGTGCGAAATGTCAACTTGAATTAAAAGGATTCTTATGTAACGCCCTGACTCTCCAGTTGCTGTCTCGCCTGGCAGTTCTGCATGCATGTGTGTGTGTGTGTGTGTGTGTGTGTGCTCGGCCTCAGTGTGTTTGTGTGTCACAGTGTTCAAGTATCATTAAATGAAGTGGGTTTCTGCCAGTTTCGAGCACACTTGGGTAAAGCATATCCAGAAACAAAGTGCATTCTGTGGCGTCTTTGCGTTTCTTTCTTGTCTCTGCTCTATCTGTCTCACTCACTGTCACTGGCTCTGCCCCCGTGTCTCTCTCTATCTCTCTCTCTCTCTCACTCTCTCTAGCCTGTCGTTCATATTTGTTGTATATATATATATATATCCTTGATATTTTTATGCCAGCACATTTCTATTTGTGACGTTTATTGTTTGGTGACTTGCAAGCAACAAGACCCAATAGGCCAAATTTGTGGCACAAACATCTTGAGCGGCAACAACTGACAGCCAAGACTACCACTACAAATTCTCAACCTCTGTCACCCCTTTGCTACTCTGCGACTCCTGCTGCTACTGCTACTCCTGCTACGGTTCGGCTGAGCATAACCCACACGAGGCACTTCTCTCTTGGCTTTAGCAAATTTCAATTTGTGCACATTTCAATCAGAAGTGCACAAACCCCAGGCTCATGCCACTGCCCGGTCGGGCTGGAGCCCCTTGCCGTCTTGCCGTCTTGCCGTCTTGCCGTGCTGCGGCTCGTGTTTGGCGCTCGTTTTAATAGTTTCCGCTTCCGCTCGGCGAGTTCAAAGCAATTGGAACTGAGTTTTCCCGCTGCCTCAGCCGGGTGTCAGCCAAGTGCCAAGTTCCGCTCCCAGCGCCAGCTTCGAATCTTGTTTTGGATGTCAGGTCTAGGGGCCAGTGGTTTATTTTATTTCATTTCAGTTTTTTTTTTTCTGGGTTCGGGACGGGTTTAACGTGTTTGCGTTTTGTTTCTTCTTGGTCATGTTTATATAATATATAAAGAGCGGTAGAGAGATGGGGGACAGAGAGGGGTAAAACGGGCTGAGTACTAGGCACTTACTTGCTCCGCAGTCTTGAGCAGATTCTCAATTTCAAAGCTGCTGGTGCGCGATGTTGGCTTGGCCACGCCCAGTCCTGAAATGATGCCGCCGCCGCCAACGCCAGCGCCAGCGCCGGCTGCCAATTGCGCCACAGTTGGCTCCACAAATGAGGGCGCCGGCGAGCTTTCCGCCTCCGGTGAGTACAAATCCTTGCCAGTGCCATCTAGAAGAGGAGTATACAGGTTCGAGCATGAGTTAAAGATAACAGTTAGTTATGTTTATTATTATTTGTTTTTGGCTGCCTCGTAATTAGTTGCCAGCTGCCTCTGGCGAACACAGACTGCGCTGGTGCTGCGCTGCTGCTGCGCTGCTGCTGCTGGCTTAAAGTTCGATTAAGCATTTTATTTATGTTGTTGCAGCTTGTTTGTTAATTTTAAATTCCATGTTTGCGCAATAAAAAGCAGCAGGAATTTAATACTTGCAGAAATGGCCAGAGCAAAACAACGCCAGCCAGCCAGGCAGCCAGGCAGTGGGGCAGGCAGGCACAAAGCTGAAAGTAATAACAACAAAAATACAGCCGGCAGTCAGGAGCAGGCCAGGAGCGGGCCAGGAGCTAGCAGGAGCAGCCACCGAGCAGCCAAAAAAACAACAGCAGCAAAAAGAATAACAACAACAGCCACAACAAGCTGTAATGATTATTGCTGCTATGTGTTTGCCACAACGTCCAACATAAGTGGGGCAGAGGCGAAGGCAGCGCGAGGCTGGAGTATGTGAAGGCAACGCACACACACATACACACACACACACACACACATATATGTATGCAGGCGCGGCAAAGATTTAACCAAGAAGCAAAAAATTTATGGCCCATACACATGGCATGCATACACGTACATAGTATGCATGCACATGTGTGTGTGTGAGCTCGTGGTAGTTTTGGCAGCGCCAGGAAGCGTTTAAAAATCATGTCCTTGAATGCTGCTCTCCGCGGCGCTCGGGCCCTCGGCTTGCCACATGCAAATTGGTTACAACAAATTTTATGAACATTTTGCTTCAAATTTGACACCACACACACAATCAAGGGGTGTGCATGAGTGTGTGTGTGTGTGTGAGATATTGAAATTGCCGCCTTATAAATTTCAAGTTGCGGTCTTCTTACAAATTGCACGTAGTTCTCAAAGGCAAAGCTAGACAACTACGGAGACGGGGCTAATAACTTATAGACGTTGTTCGTTCCACACTTTGCTTGGTTGGTTGCTGTTGTTGCTGCTGCTGTTGGTGGTTGTTGTTGTTGTTGTTGTTGTTGGTCATTTAAACGAGCAACTCGAAAACGTGCATTGGCCATAAAGTCTAGAATTTTAGTAGTGGCTTTACTTAAACTAAGACGAGTGTCTGTGTGTGTGTGTGTGTGTGTGTGTGTGTGTGTGTGTCCCTGGGCGAGGCAGGTGGGTCACAGGTTTATGAAACGAGCTGTGCTGGTGGCTAAGCTCAAACGTGAGACTGTTAAAAACATATCGAATGCTTCTTCTACAGCTCACCTTTGGTATGTCGTCAAGTGAGAAAAGAGCAGCTGGCCTCAGCTATTTTGACAGCTATTGATAGCTCAAAGATATTGACCTGACTAAGTTATTATAATATCATATATCAGAGCACATGTGCGCCAAGGCTCGGGGCATTTGCTATTTAACTTTAAGTTTATTGCCAAAGTTTCGCGCTAGATATATACAATATAAATATATAGCTAAAAATCTGTTTGCAAACTATTTAAGCTCAGGCTGTAAAATTTAATCACATTTAAAGCACTCTTAAGCCAAGCTAAACTTTTGGCTAAACTTATATACACGTTGCCATGGCAAGCTAATTAGATGCACTCGCTCTATAATGGAAACTTTCAGAGAGAGAGAGAGAGAGTCAAAAGAGGAACTAATTATCTGCATGACTACAAGAGAGTAACATATGATAATGAAAGCTGCTTCGAATACACTCAAAGTGCTTTTGGCTCTTCTTTTTAATTAACCAAAAAAGAAACGAAAATGAGAATGAAAATGATGTAACGTTTGACCAGCTTCACTTGTGCATAAAAAATAAATGTATACATATGTATATAGATATTTATATAGAGTGGATACAGCTTGCTCTTCTCTGATTGCAGTCTTCATCAAATTGTGCATTTAATAAGCTAAAAGTGCTGCAACGTCAAGTTGCATGCCCCGTCGCAGGGTTTGCCCAAGTTCCTTTCTCGGTTTAATTGCCAAAGTGAAATGTAATCCAGTTTTTCTTTTCATTTTTATTTATGCTTCTTTCTCTCACTCTCTTGTTGTTGCCCTCCCCCTCATTCATGTTGAATGGCAAACGGTTTTTGTTGCATATGCCGCCATATCCATAAGCCATATGCCACAAATGTCCGTTCATCAGCCGACTGACTGTGTGCCAAAATGGCGAATATGCTACAAAATACGCAATGCACACACACACACACACACACACACACACATATTGCCAATACATGTGGCAGCTGCATGTGAGTCGTTTAATTTTTTCTACACATATATACATATATTTATATATGTATATGCTTGATTTTTCCCTTTATTTTCATATATGCCTTCGTGTTGTTCTTGTTTTAGTGTTTTCATTTTTTATTTTAATTCTTTTTTAGTTTGCTGTGCCTTTTAATTGTTTGCCGCATAAAAATGTTTCATTTTGTGTACTATATAAAATACACACATACACACACATGCATGCATGCACGTTGTTGTTGCCGTTGTTTTCTGCGTTTGTTGGTTTTTAATTGTTTTGTGTTCTTAGCCACTTCGGCTTTTTGAGTGCAGTGCAGCGTGTGTGTGTGTGTGCGTGTGTGTGTGTGTGGGCGCAGTTTGTAATCCTGTAATTATGTAGTTGTTGTTGCTGCAAAGCGAAACGAAATGCAACGACAGCATGGCATGCCACACACACACACACACACACACACATACACAGGGAACTATTCGTTTCTCCCACCCACACACTATCCATCTTTCTCTCTCTCTCTCGTTCTCTCTCTGTTAGCACGCTACTTATTGATGTAATTGTTGTTGCATGTTGTATGAAGCACTTGCAACATGCATTAAACGAAAAATATAAATTACTTTAATGAACTTTACAAATTCGCATGCGCGCCCGGAAATGCGCTTTACGTTTCCGCTGTTACCGTCACAGCGCCAACCACACAGAAACAGCCAAAGGGAGAGGGAGAGAGAGAGAGAGTGAAAGGCAGATGCGGGCAAAGAGGTACACCGCACCTTAACCACAACAACAAGCACAACAACGAGCACAACTGCTGCTGTGATTAGTATGCTTTTGTTGTAGCCGTGGATGAATGTTGGGCTGCGGCTTTCAAATGTTGAAAACAAAATAACAGAAAGCTAAATAAAAAAGTATATAGAAAAAACATTCCACGCACAGTTTTAGTTTCTGTTTTAGTTAGAAGCCCGACCAAAGGTATTTACAGTTCGCATTTATATGTGGAGCGGCGTATGGGGGCCTAAAGGAATATACTTACTCCAACCGGGAGCTGGCACAATCAGTCCAGTTATCATCTCTTCGCTCATCACTGGCGGATCTGAGGGTGGCGGCGGGCACACCAGAGAGTCAATCATATCGTCCGTTACACGCATTATGCCCACTAGATCTGGCGGTTCGGTGCGCGAGGAGCTGTACAATGGGATAGAAGAAGAAGAAGAAGAAGAAGAGTAGACAATGTTAAAGCAACTTTTGATGAAAGTACACAAAATAATTAACATAATTTGATATTGGATTCGAGTTGAGAGTCCACGGCTTAAAGCCAAACACCTGTCTGACCTTTTTCTATGTCAGTGGCAAAAGATGCGGAAAAATGCTTTCCAACGTGCATAATTTGAATGGGATTTGGGAACGTGTGGGTGGGTGTGGGAGGAGGCTGGGCCCTGGTCATGGGTTACAGTTTGTTGCCTCGCAAACGCTTAACACAAAAGCCAATGCGGCCATAAAGAGCAGCTAATTAGGCTATCAAAATGCCTGGCTATGCGCCGGCCGAAGGGTCGTCGCAGCCCCGCCTCAAAAGCCAACTCCCTCTGCTTCAAACCTGAACCCAGCGAACCCCTGAAACATCAACCCTACTTCAACGCTCTAGCCACAGCCTCCGCTCACTGTCCCCTCCCTCTCCCCTCCCTCTCCCTCTCTCTTGCGCTCTTCTATATGGGTAACTGGTCAATGTGTTTGTGTTCATCTGTGGCTTTAGTTTTGTTGTTTCGGACTTTGTCATGAAAATTGAAAAGCGGAATATTAAAAGCTCGGAAAATTTGTTCGTCTCTGCCATTTTTGGTGCTAAATTTCCCATTTTTGATTTGTTGCGAAACTATTTTTTTTATACTGTTCGTGCGTCTGTGTCTGTGTGTGTGTGTGTGTGTGTGTGTGTGTGTATCTCTGGGCTGCTTATTGGCCAACTACAGCTACTAAAATGTACAAAAAGCTTGTCGAATGTTGACATATTTCGAGGTTTTTCTTTTTTGCTTTTTTTTCTCCATATTCATTTTGAAAGTTTGTGCGGTATTTAATATTAAACGCGTGTGTGGCTTTAGAGGTTGAAGCATTTTGAGGACAGAGTCAATTTAGAGGGTTTTTTTCTGCCTCTTTTTCGGGAAGCTGGCTTTGAGAATTTAAGATAGATATACACGAGTTGGCGGTCTGAAATAGGCGCACACATTGTGCAGCATAAAGAAAAAAAAGATGTATAAAAGCTGCCATTAGAAAAGTTAATTGATTTCTCGAGTGCCATAACAAAGCCGAAGCTGTCAGAAAAATGCATCGTACAGCTGGAAAAACGAACTGAAAGCTAGTCTAGCTTGTAAAGGTTGTAGGTATAGGAGAGTGTATATATAGATATATGTGTATGTATATATACGTATAAAAGATATTTATTTTGTATATATATAGTAAGTGCTTTATCTGGCTTGCTTGACTTTAACTAAATTTTGTTATTGTTTCTTCTTTCCTAAAATCCAAATAAATTTAAATTATTTAAAATAAATCGATCTTGGATTAATTTAGATTTATTTTCCCTTTACGATTTGCATGAGTTCAACTGCATATGTTATTCAATGAAATAATATTGAATCGGGGATTATGCACGGTTCGATAAATCTGTAATTAATTAATATTTAAGCAGCTTTGGCACCTCTCCCAGATATGTTATCTCAAATAGCAAAATTAATGAGATTCAACAACACATGATACGGCATAACTAAACAGAGTTCTGTGAATTGGCCTCGGGCTACCGAGCTACAATTTGACTATTATATTGCATTAAATCAAATGCCAAGTGAAGCTGAGCAATCGGCCTAGAGCAAACTTTAAAGGAAAACAGCTTAATTCGTTTATGAAACAAAGCAAAGTGTAGCCAATTGTTATGCTGACCAGCTGAGGTATTAAAAGGGCGATAAACGTCATTGTTGGTTAAACAATGGCCAACTTGTTAATTAGTCTACATGTATACAATATGTGCATATATGTATATATATGTATATATATTTATATTTATATTTATATTTGATATCTGTTTAAACAATGACCAGCCATATCGACATGCAACAATGGCAAGAAATAGAAAAGTGAAGCGGGACATGGGAAATGGGAAATGCAAGGCTCGCATGTCGCCTGCCTTGAAGCTGATGCATTCAAGTCAACAGCATGCGAGATGGATAATTGACAGGCTGACTGGGACAGTGATGGTGTAAAATGGATTAGTGCAACTTACCGCATCATCATGCTGAGCGATTGCTCCTCCTGCAGCACGCTCTCCAAGTACATCATATCTAGATCGGAAACAATTGCGCCATTGATGACCATTATTTCGTCTCCCTTGATAATGCCTGCATTGAAAATGAAGAAGACACAAAATCCGAGTTAAGAGCGAGCGAACGTTTATAATATTAACTATTTCCATAATGTATCTATGTGTCTATGTGTCTATGTGTGTGTTTGTGTGTGTGTAAACAATAGAGTTTCCCTCAGCAGCAGCAGTTGGGGTAAAATTTAATAGTGGCGCGCTATTATTGTCTGCCTGGCAGGAGGCGGTGCTGTAACAGCATCAGTTGTGGGCGAGGCAGTGACAACTTGCCTTAACATAAGCGCCCATGTCTTGGGCTAGCGATAAAAACAATAACAAACACAATGTGCTCGGCGCATTGTTCATACGCCCCGTTGCCAGTTTAATGTATTGCATCTAGCTCAACTCTATGTGTGTGTGTGTGTATGGCTCTTTCTCTGTGTGTGTGTGTGTGTGTGTGTGATTCGTGTTTTCTACAACATTTATTTCGAGCAGGCAGCTGCTTGGCTTCATTTTTGTTTTGTTGCACGTTATCAGTGTTGTTGCAGCTACAGCAACTTCGACAGATATGCGCACGTGTGTTGGTGTGTGTGTGTGTGTGTGTGCATGGGTTGTTATCTGTCTGACAGTTGTGTATTTTATGCAAGAGTCTGCTGCACCTTGAACCTGCCAGCCAGGCAGCAGTAACCAGCAGCAGCACCACCAGCACCACCACCAGCAGCACCACCAGCAGCAGCAGCACCTCCTGCACAATTTTTGCATTTTCTACAATTTCAAATGGATTTTCGTTTCTATTTCTTTTTCCCTGTATATGTGTATGTGTGTGTGCGTGTGTGCTTTTTGTGTTGTTTTCGCAGCACATTCGTTACGTTTGCGTTTACGTTTCGTTACGTTTTGCTGTGGATTATTTGGCTTTAGCTTTGGCAGCACATGCATTAGACAAATATCTACTCGACTTGATATTTATTTTGTTTACTCTGTTGCGGTTGTTCTAGCTTTACGCTGTTTTGCAGTTCTCTAGCTCACCCTTTCTCTCTCTCTCTCTCTCTTTCTCTCTTGCTCAGTTTTTTTTTTTTTTTTTTTTGGCTGCGTTGACAACAGCTTTGTTCTTGGCTTGAGCAAATTGTTATTTCATGTTTGCCAAATACTTTGCCACGCTTGTTTTTCAACACTCGACTGTGCGGCATGCAACTTCTGTACACATGCAGCGGAGGCAGTTGGTGCAAATGTTGCTGCTGCTACCACTACTCCTGCTGCTGCTGCTGCTGCTGCTGCTGTTGCATTTGTGGCCATCATTATTATGGATGGCTCGATGGCTGCTCGACTGCGTCTGTTTGTTAACTGGGAAAAAGCCAAGCAAACAGGCGCCAGTTGCCAGTTGCCAGTTGCCAGTTGGCAGCTTAGAGTGGCATGTGGCATGCGGCATGTGGCGTGTGGCATGTGGCATATGGCAGGTTGCATTTAAGCACATTGAATTAGGGCACACTTTAAGCGCTCATTAAAGGCAACTCAAAGACATTTTGGGGTTTCAATTAGCTCAAGAAAAGTGGGCAGCCACAGCATTTGCATTTGCATTTGCCACTATTGCTGCTGCAATGGTTGCTGCATTTGTGGTTGCATGCGTTTTTGTTATGTTGCAGTTTCTCTGGTTGGCAACTGCCTTGGGCAGCTCTAGCCCAGTTTTGTTTTGTGGCGCCCTTAAATTGGTCTTTGGCACTTGCTAATAAGCATTTAAATTAATATCCTCTATCTATCTTCCACTCTCACAATCTCTTTCTCTCTCTCTCTCTCTCTCTTTCTCTCTTTCTCCCTCTCTCTCTCTCTCTCTTTTGAAGTTTGTCTAATTTATGCAGCCACACGCACTTGTTCGATTCCATTTACATGCAAAACTTGGCAAATGTTACGTCATATTTATTGATGTCCTTGAATAATATCCTGTTATTGTCCCGTTATTATCATTGTATTGTGCACACTCGCAGATTGCTGCAACTTGTTATCGTTCGACTCGCTGCACACTTTTATCGTAACTCGTAACTTTTGTAACTATTTATTTATGGCTCTGCAATTGCGACACTTTTTCAACTCCCCCTCGCTCCCGCCCAGATAATATTCATAGCCTGAACTTTTCAAATATGCGTAAACACGTCGAGCTTAAATGGACTAAGTGTTTGTGTGTTTAAATGCGAAATTATTTTTGATTGTATTTACGGTTTTAGTTATTGAACTATTGCTGATTGCAAAAAAGTGCTGCAGTTTTAATTGAGCTATCTGCAATTGGAGTTAGGTAATGAGGACTTTCCGATATAAACATGATTTTATTTTTTTTTTTGACTAGCATAATTTGGAATGTATAAAAAAGCTTTCTGTTTGCTTATTCTACTAATACATAAATATTATTAAAATTATTAAATTAAATAAAATTTTTAAAATCAGTAAAGCCGAATGTAAAGTATTGCTGAAAGTCTAGAAATACATTTAATTTTGTCACAGCATTATAACTTCTAGCTGAATCTTAAATACAACTTAAGCTGCCTAAAGATCAAAGAGGCTCTAGATCCAACCGACAGCCCTATCTGTATATATTGCATTTGAATATAATAGTTGTGGGCTTAAAGGAACTAGAACAGACTCGAAAAAACTCCTGTGCTCAGCCTTCAAGAGTTGGCTCTCTGAATAAAAACAAATATTGGTGCTGCTGAAAAGGTGAGCACCAATACTTGGATCTATTTTATAGCGAATGAGAGATTGTATTGCACTAGAAGGCTTTTATATTGAGAAATGGCGTTAATGAGCTTCGTAGTCTAAACGCCAGCTGTAGGAGATTTATATACATATGCTCTAAACAGTCTATGCATCGTCGTGCCTTTGTTTCTCTCTCATTCCAGTCGTTCTCAGAGTGCCTCAGGTGATCAAGCCGAGGCTCGAGCATATGAGAGACCAATTAACTTTTGATTGGTGCTCGTGTCTCGGCAGCCCTTTAATACACACGACAGCCAGCGTGTCTTTATATTGATTACACTAAGCTAAAATCTCTCCAGAGCTCAAGAGATTAGCTAAGTGAATTGTTATTCTCTCTGTTAAGTAACTCGCATTTAATTCAATTACACCTTGATTATGCATATCCACCAAAATTGCAGTTCACCTAATGCAGCTGCACAGAACATAAAAAAAAATCACCCAAAATGAAAAAGAAGAAAGTAAACAAGCAAAGTCATTAGCAAATCTGGCACTAGCTGCAGCACTTTATTTGCTGCTCATTAAATTCAACACCCTGGCAAAAACTTGTCCAGTGGCATTGTTAACGCAGTTTTAAGCCAACCGACAAAAAAGAGAGAAAGAGGGAGAGAGGGAGAAAGTAAGAGAGAGAGAGAGACAGACAAAAAAAGTGCAAGAAGAAAAACTCATGGCAAATTATAAACTAACCGCCAGTGGCAGGGCTAACTTTTAAGGCGTCGCGAGTGGGCGGCAGGGGGTGAGATGGGGCGCGGACTCATGTCTCAGTTTTTGCTAACGATTTTCGGTGCACATTGTTTTATGGACTTTTGATTCGTTGTTGTCGCCGCCTCTGTCGTTGCCACATTCGCACTCAACGTGCTTAATGAGGTTTCCGCTGCGCGACTTTCTTTCAGGTTCATCACTTTTGCAAGTGCTGGCATTGCAGTTATACGCCAGGCAGCACCTGGCAGGAGTTGGCGCTGCCAAGACGGAACCAGTGTCAACATCAGTCGACATAATTTAAAGCGTTGCTCGAGTGGCATTTCGACTGCAAGCACTTGACTGCAGCTCGCCCAGCTCTCCCAGCTCCACCTGCTCCCACTATGCATGCAAATGCCAACTTAAGTTGATTTTAAGTGATAGAAAAACAACAAGGGGTGGCAAAGGTAAGGCACGGCCAGGTGGGGCTAGGTAAGGGCCAGGTAAGGGATGTCTAAGATGACGCCCGAAAAGCCTTTAAGAACACAGGCGCTATGGCCCTGTGGCTGTCATTACAGGTGCATACACAGCGACCGAGAGAGACAGAGAGTGAGAGAGAGAGAGAGGGAAGGAGAGGAAGCAAGCACAGCATCTTCGAGTGCGCTGCTCATCATCCGACGTGATGTCTTCTGCTCGCTTACAAGCGCTGACTATTGAGTTTTTCATGAAGCAGTTGCTGCTGCAGCTGCAGTAGCTGAGGAGCCTGGCCCTGAGGAGCTGCTATACAAACTGCTGCTCACTCCAGCCGCAGCTTCAGTGCTCCACTTGACTCTGTGCTCGGTGCAACCAAAGCGAGTTTGGCTCAAGTTTTTTTGTGACATAAAAGTGAAAAGCATTTAAATATAAAAGAAGCGCAGCTCTCTCTCTCTCTCCACCACCACACACACACACACTCACAGATAGAGCTAAAAGCGCATGCCAACACAGTGATGTTTGCTAGCTGGTAGCAGGCTGCAAGTGAAGTGGGCGTGCCACTTGATAATATTCTTGGCCAACATTGGAACGCACATTGTTTCACAGTTGAACTACGGCTGGCTGTCGGGCAGTCAGGAGCAGTCAGGAGGAGACTTAGTTGGCCTGCCAACGGGCATCTCCCCTGATGTTTGTCCATTGGCCAATGGCCATTTGGCATTTTGTGTGTCATAAATTGCGAGTGAGTGCACGAATTCAGCTGAGCTAAGCAGCTGTAGCTGCTCGAGTGCTATATTTGCCCGAGTGTACTTACCATTGTGCATGGCCACGCTTTTGTCCTCGACGCGGCTCACATAGCAACAGAGCTCATCCTGCCGCTCCGCGTTCTCAATCAGCTCCGCCTCGACGGAGAAGCCCCACATTTGCTCCAATGTGGTGCGCTGCAGCTCCACCTGGTACAGTATTTTCATGCACACCTCCACAAATTCGTGATTATGTAGCTGCGGAAGGCAAAGAATATAAAGAATACCAAAATTAGCTATACTGCTAAGCAGCTTAAAAAAAAAAAAGTTGAATTATTTTCGTGTTATTTTACATTTTGTTTTTTGTTCCTGTCTTTTTTCGCAGCACGAGTTTCAATAAATCTGCTGTTTGGCCCCCAAAAAGTTGTTTTAATTCTCAATTTATTGAGCAGCCGGAAAGTTTCGTACAGCTGCACTTTTGACCTGGCAATATTTACAGCTTGTTGTTCAGCTCGAAACTTTTTCCCGAGTTCGGCTTGCAATTTTGTTGAAGCACTTTGCCCCGAGATCGAGCTGCGCTGGGCTGGCCTGCGTCGGGCTGGCTTGGCAGCTTGAGAAATGGCATCCTCAGACTAATCGCCCGCTAAGTGGCTACATATTTCGGGCCTCAGGGTGGGCGGTGGGTGGTGCAGCAGACACAGCTGTGGTGCAGCCAGTGCAGCGTAGCTACAAACGAACTCCAATTCAAGGTAGACTTTGCATTGCCAAAGAAACCGAAAGAGCCGAACTGAGAGGCTCATTTAAATGATGTCATTAGCCGTGTAGAGCTAATTCCACTTGTGATTTATCAGCTGTAATTAAACTTGAATCTGATGCCAACGCATTGGCTGAATCTCAGAGCTCATTGAAATCGTCTATATTAAATTCGAAACACTTGTGCCAACAAATCGCATTTAATCCTTTCAATTGGCAATTCCTTTGTTGAGAGAGCACTGAACAACAACAACAACAACAAAAAAACTCCCTTAATTGCCCTTAATTTTGAACAAACAACAAACACGTGTGCAAAGTTCAAAGTTCAATCGCAATTGCCACCCACACAGACACAGTTATAGGCGCACGTGTGTGTCTGGGCGTGTTTTTTCTTTATTTTTTTTTCTTTTTTTTTTTTTTGGCTTGTGCTGAGACTGAGTGGGCGGGGCTCTTGGTGTAGGTTACTTACATAATTTTCAATCAGATCATTGCGATGTGGCACAAAGTAATTGTGATCCTCCATGTCACGTCGCTTCTTGACGCGCACAAAGTGCTCCATGGGATTGAGGTTGCGACGGGCGCAGGCGCTGGCAAGGAATTCCTCCACAGACATCGCGTCACGTAGATAAACTGTCGAGTAAGCATTGTCGGGCATTGCAACTTTGAAGGTTTTTTCCGGCTCGTCACGTGAATTCATCTGGAAAAAGGCAGAAAATTCGATTGGATAAACAGGCGAACATATACCACACACACACACACACATACACACACATACACTCATACAATGTCATTAAGGTTGCTGCTGCTGCTGCTGCTGCTGGAGCACACACGGAAGTGAAAATTGAAAAATAGCAAAAACACATTTCTATCCGAGAGCAAATGTGTAATGAAAAACGTCAGCAGCAGCCACCCAGCCATCCTGCCAGCCAGCAGGCAGTCGACAGTCAACGGACTCTGACAGACAGCAGTTTGAAGAAAACTCAGTTAAAATGCTTAACGGCATCATCGTCCTCTGTGCGAGGAGGGTTCGGTTAACAAAGCTATAGCTGCAGCGGCAGCGGCAATGGCAGCGGCAGTGGCAGCTGGTGTCGTGGAAGCCGTGTTTGCAGCCAACAGTTTGGCCAACTGGTAAACGAATCAGGCGCCCAGCTGCCAGCTGAAAATTGCATTTGTATTGGCAGCCATCGACGATGGTTTTGCTGGCTGACTAACTTTTAGCTGCCGCTGCAGCAGGAGCAGCAGCAGGAGCAGGAGCAGGAGTAGCACCAAGCATGCCCCAAGCACAGGTGTAATGCGTCCACACACACACACACACACACACACACACACACACACAGACACAGTTAAGTGTGTGTGTAGTTTACTACTTGCACGACAATTGAATTAGTTTGGCAGTTACAAAACTCACACACAGAGAGAAAGAGAGAGAATGAGATAAGTTGGCAGCGACAGCAGCTATGCCACATTTGCATGCACATCCGTCAGACTTGCCACATGTGCAGCAGCAACTGGAAAGGAATCTTTGCATTGCATAACAATTGGGCAACGTTCGCATCTTTTTTTCACACACAAGTGTATGCATTTATATGTCTATATACATGTAAGTATTTATATGTGTGTTTGTTGTGGCATATATCGTTTGCAAAGTCATTATGCTGCACACAGACACACACACACACACACACACACGCAGTCACACGCAGTGAAATCAATAATGCATATGCAAGGCATTGCAATGCATTGCATTTCTTGCTTTATTTATTTTTTTTTTTTTTTTTTTTTTTTTTTGGGTGTCAACTTTATATTTATAGAGGAAATGAAGGCGTTTGTGCTACTTTGCATTGTCCTTTGCATTGTTGTTGCTGTTGGCTTGAACGTGCTGTGAAATTTGAGGCAACAGCTGCACAAATTGCAAATTATAAATAATAATCAAGTTTAAAATGCTCAACAGAGACTGACAGAGAGAGAGAGAGAGGGCAAGGGTTAGGCACACAGATAGACAGAGAGAGTGTGTGAGAGAGAGAGAGAGAGGGAGGGAGTGCATTGAAATACAAGTTTCAAATGGCAATCGACATGCAACAACAATTTGCAGCAATTTTATAGCCTTGTGTTCGTTTGAGAAATTTGTCGGCTATTTAATTACACACATCCTCGATGAGTTGCAATCAGACAGACAGATTTTAATTGTCAGCTCCAAAACAAAATCATGCAGCTGATTTTTATAACCGAAACGGAATATATTCACATATGCTGTGTCTATGCTCTATGGAGGGAATTGACTCTGATGGGGTGACTATGAAATAGGTTTGAAGCGCAGCACTGTAGACAAATGTATCATTGTGACTTTGGCCAGGGACAACAAGCTAGGCATACAAAGGAAGCAACAGCCAAGAGATGGCAAAAAAAAAAAAAAATAAATAAATAAATAAAATCGGACATTTTTATTACATTTTTCAAGCAAAGCCCAAGTATTCCCAAGATAACTTATTATACTTATATTTATTATAATTAAAGGAAACTCAGTTAATTATTATTCAGGTGTAAACAGGTAGTCAATTTAAAAATTTTGCAGCTGACCCACACATATCCGAATACTATCACACATATACTATATGTCTAGGCTTGACTGAAAGTGACAGAATTTTAAATGGGTTCCATTAACAGCTTTTGCTTTTTAAATGTTAACCAAAAGACCCTTCAAGGCTTGCCTATCACTCGCAGGCTCTCTCACCTCACCGCACCTCTCAACTCTATAATATATATAATAAATTCAGTTTTTATTGCAAATGTCACATGAAATCCCAATTACAATTATTCGCCTGTAAATTGTGAATATTTAAATTTTAATCGAAATTTAATCAGCATTTAATATGAATATTTATAATAAATAAAATATGAAATATTATTATTTAACAAGCTGCACATTCGACAAGTGCAGCTAATCTGGCTTAAATGTATTCGCATTTGTCAGCCTGACACGAATTTTATTGCCACATTTTCATTTGAGTGGTGCAAGTTGTTGGCTGAGGCAACTTTTTGAATTTGGCATTTGCATTTTCAACTGTGTTTTGCCTTTGGGCTGTCGATTAATGAACTTTGGCTGCGTAATGCGACAGCCAGTTGCACGCTGACTGAGCTGACTGAGCGGACTGAGCTGGAGCTGACGACTGGGCTGGCTTCCTCTTTGGCTGAGCCGGTTTGGGGCAAGTCAATTTTCAGTTGTCGCTTCGTTGCGTAATTCAATTTTCTCTGTTGCTGTCTGTCTCCCTCTCTCTCTATCTCTCTCTCTCTCTCTATCTCTCTGGCTGCCTCTGTCGATCCTGCATTGGCCAATTAAGTGCGTCGTGACAAAAATTATTTAAAGGCCCCTAAAGAGCTGGCGCTACGCAGCTCAGAGAGCTTCCAGCTGGTAGGAGCTGACAGCTCGCAGCTCGCAGCTCGCAGCTCACAGCTCGATAATTGCCAGTTGTAGAGCAGCCACGAGCACTGGTGGACACCTTTAATTTGATTTCATTTCATTTTCAATTGCAATTTCAGCTGCATTGCAGCTGACATGCTGGCAAAACAAAAAGCCACACTCACCCGACACAGACACACACACACGCACACACACACACACGCATTCAATCGAGTTGACTGCGCAAAAATATCAACCAAATCAAATGCACATTTTTCAAATTCATTGAATTTTCAGCGCCGCCAAATACAAGAGTCTGATTTAACGTTAGTAACGCTTAATATACATACATATATATACATATATTGCATAGATACATATATATATATATATATACATATATATTTATTTATATTTATGTTTCATGTTCTTGCTTTTCGCATGAATATTTCTGGCTTCGCTGCTGACTGCGACGTCGACTGCAATTGTTGCAGCGTTGGCAAATTTAATTGGAAATGAAGTGTGCACGCCCCTGTGCACTGACTGTGCACTCGCCTGTGCGTGTGCGTGTGTGTGTGTGCTGTTGCTGCACAAGATTATTTTGCCAATAATCGAAACAAATTGAATTTATGAAATGAATTTCATTAAAAGTACGACTATATATCCACCATATATCCACAAATACACATAAAACAGAAAAAAAGGAAAGAAAACATAAAAATTGCCAACTCTAATTGAAGTTTATCAAATAAGCAGCATCAGAATACATAACGAGTCCATTTAATAAAACAACAGCCACGCCTAATCGAATTGAAAGAGCAGTTGAAACACTAAATGTATGTGTGTTGCCACACAAATCCGGCCAACTAAACCAAAACTGCATTGAGGCAAATTCGACTTTTATATGATTTCATCTTCAAAATGTTGTTTTTGCAATATAAAATGTGCAGTGTACACACACACAGAACTTTTAAGCCTGACTTTCAGCTTCAACTTTGGTAAATTGAGTTAACCAGCTTAATAGATATACAGCAACCGTTCGACGCTGCGTATACGTAATACAGCTTGAAGCTAAGGCTTAGCTGCGAATCAAACTTGCATTACGATTCCTAATATTTTAATTATTTTTAGTGCAGTTTTGTGGCTGAAACTAGCATGCCGAAAATCGAAAATAGAGAGAGACAGGCAGAGACAGCGATAGAGACAGCGATGGAGAGTACTATTTGCCCATTTGAGGAGCTCAAATACATTTGTGCAATGTAAATTTGTAAAACAGTTTCAAATATTTCGTGATTTGTGTTTGCTCTATCAAGATTAATTTAGCTCTGCCAAACGGTCAGAAAAAATAAATATACCAAGCTGCGTACTTTATGCAAATATTTTCACAACTTTGGATTAGTTTTTTTTTTATCTCTCTCTCTCACTCTCTGTGTGTGTGCTGTGCCATTTGCCTAATGGCTATCTAAAGAATCTTTTGGGAGTGGCGGCTCTTCATAAATTTGTTTTTGTAATTCCTGATGGCCATTAAATTTAAATTATACAAAGAAACGGACAACAATATGCTGAAAAAATAAAAAATCAAATTGAAATTAAAAGCGCGACAGTGGTCAGCGTAAAAATACATTAGAGGGTGACACATTTGGTCGTTCGTCCTCGCATTTGCGCTCAATTTGGCTTTTAATGCCGTTTCCGTTGTCGCTTAAATAGAAATTCAATTATTCAACACACACACACACACACACACACATACACACAAATACACAGACAGAGCTTATGTACGCAATAAAAATGCAAACACGCATCAGACAAACGCAGGCCTCTCATAAAATTGTTACCCAAAATTGATATAATTTTATTACGCATACGAGCCGTGGGCTCATCATATACACACATATGTATATATTGTCGCTTACCTGCATGGAGCGGCGACTGGAGCCGCTGTTCGAGCGAGACAGCATCGGCGGCCGTCGCTTGGTGGCGCCACGTCCGGCCAGCAGATTATTGAGCAACGACGGCGACCTGGCACAGATGAAGGCGTGGAACGAGGAGACCGTAAAGACGCCCAGCTTATTCAGAGTATTCTTTGTGGGGCGCGAGACGTGGGTGAGCAGTGACTGCAATGAAAGAAAAGAGATATATATGAGATGACATTATCCATAGATAATCCTTTAACTCTTGAATCTTGATTCATTTAAAGAATTGGCAACGGAAGGTAAATGGCAGTTACGCTTGGCCAGGCAAATGTTTATGGCAATTATTTTGGCTGAATCATTTTGGTCAAGCTGACTAATGTGACATAATTAATTTCACAATACATATATACAGCTATACAAAGTACATTAACTGCGCTGTGTGTGAGTGTATATACATCTGTGTATGTGTGTGTTGGGTGTGTGTGCCTGGCCTGTAAGTGTGCTGTGCAAATAGCCTGCAGTGCATGCACTTTCTCGTGTAAGTGCTGCTGTTGCTGCTGCTGAAGTTGTTTGGGTTTTGCGGTTATTAATAATAAATGTGGTTGCTCTTTATGCGAGTTGTTCAGTTGAAAGCACCGCATTTGCTGCCATTCCTCTTTGGCAAGCAGCCCCAACCCCAAGCCCAAGACCAGTTCCCCACTTTGCCTCGCTGGGCACGCTCTCCCTCCCACCCTCCCCTCTCCTGCTGCTGCAGCAGCTGCTCTCTACAAGTCATAAAAAGTGCAATTAACTTGCAACCCTTTTCGTCACCCATCAAGGTTGGGGCCCCGCAAATCTTTTTAATGCCGTGCAAAGTTCGAGGAGCTGCGCCACAGCCTCATGCCTCCCGCCTCCCGTCTCCTGCCTCGTTTCTCGCTGCTTTGACCCTTTAAGCTGCAGCTCATTTAAGGCGCTTAAATTGTGTTATGGAGATTAACAATACATGTTTTCGGGCTCTCAACTGCTAGTTCCGCCCGAGTCTCGCGTCGAGCAATCGAAGCTCTGCTACCCGCTCTATAAACAAGTAGGTAAAAGCAATTATAGACTACAGGCGGGCAGCCAGGCTTAAGAGTCAGCTAGAGCTTTAATTTCAGCTGCTGTGGCCGGAGCAGTTGGCTTTTAATCTCTGTTATGGCTGCTTTTTGCTGTTCCACTCACTCCACAGGAGAGTCTGGGTGATTTTTAATCAAATTCTATTGTATTGTGTGAACTTTAAGCAGATTATGACAAATCTTGTTGCTGATTAGTTCTGTGCGGCGGGGTCAGATACATATTTATTTTCGCTTACCAGTTGCTTAAGCTGAATCGAGTGTCGAACAAGAAAAGTTGGAAAATTCTATTAGACTCGTATTTAAATTGCTTGCACTACTTAGTTCCCCTTTTAAAGTCACAATTTGTCTCTCTGCAGCTTGACTCAAAGTCTTACACATTAGATGGAAACACTTCTTTTTGCTGTGCCACCTGCTGAAGTGCCTGCCACCTGTAACTGGTCTCTGGAGCATTCAGTTATCCTGTGCACTTGACAACTACTTTGCATTGAATAGCATTTTCAGGTACGCAGTTTATCACCACAGCGCAAAGCAGCTGCAGAGCCATCAGCATCAGCATCAGCATCAGCTACAGCATCAGGGCTAAGTAATTCAAATTGACGCAATCTCAGGCACGTTATGTGAACTTTCTGTGGCTTCCGTTAGGTGAAACAAATTGCGGCAATTGCCATTTTGCCATTAGGCAGCTATGAAGCAGTAGAAATGGGGCTGGCTAGCAAATGGAAGGGGAGCGCTGGAGGAGCCACTGTATAATGATACGCATAACTCACCTTTGGATTGGGCAGCTCACCGCTCTGGAGCGAGGCCATATAGCAGCGTAGTCGGAACTGTTCGCAGTGCAGACGTTCAAGGTTTTCCTCCCATTGCAAAATCTGTGCCTGTATTTGATGGCGTGTCTCCTGATCGGTGACAACTGATTGCTGCAGCTCAGCCATGTGCTTCAGCTTGTGATCCTGCAAGAGCGAGAGAGAGAGAGAGAGAGAAAGAGAGAGATGAAAAAAGGCAGACATTAGACATGAGTGCTACAAGCACATATACATATACATAGTTAGTGTCCAAGTGTGTGTGTGTGTGTGTGTGCGGATTGTGGGGCAAGGATGCGGCAGTGTCGCACTCGTGATGGTTATGAAAGCATCTCTGGCATGGCATCATTAGCATTTCATGGCAGCTATTGCTCGTTGTTGCTGCTGCTGCCTCTGCTGCGGCTGCGGCTGCTGTGGCTGCCATTTGACGAAAATACATAAATCACGCGTCATGTGCAGCAGCATTTTTCGTTGGCGCAATTCAAATATCTATGCGCTCGTTCTCTCCTGTCGCTCCCTTTGGCAGCTGAAGTGCGTTGGCAATGCACCAACTTTGACACACACACATACAAGCACACACACACACACACACACATAGTGAGAGATACTTTGGCATCGTTAGCCACACACGCACACACACATACACACACATATATATGCAACACATGCCCCTGTTTTCATTACAAACAACGTTTGACTTCCGCCGCAGCGCGTCCCATCAGCAACAGCGGCAGCAGGAGCAGCAGCAGCAGTCAGGAGGAGCTAGCTGACTGCACTGCTCTATACCCAATCCGACCAACCGTTCGTTAGCATTGCAATCCCACTTTCACGTGCATTTATACACGCTTCCATAGATTTCATGGAGCACGTGATTGTTTCATTTTGGTTGCTAGATTCCTATTTTTTCTTTTTTTTTGTTTTGTTTTGTTTTTTTCACTTTGCTGTCGCTGCTATTGTTGTTGCTTGGTTGTGGTGGCACTGCTGCCACTGCTGTTGCATTCAGCTCGTGTAAGCTGACAATTATTTGCAGATGCAGTTGCCGTTACCGCTGCCGTTGCCGTTGCAGTGGCGGATACGGTGGGCGTAGCCGTGGCAACAACAACCTGAATGGGCACTTTCGATGTTCGACATTTTAATGAATGTGTACACATAAACAGCAGCACAGCTCACAGTCACACACCCATGCACATAAGTAAATGTATTTGTTCGCCGGCTTACACAGGTGTCTGCGTTAGCGCATTGTGTGGGCGACTCCCTTGGTGTATGTGTGTGTGTGTGTGTGTGAGCTGTATGCGAGGACACGCTACTTGCCAGCGCTTGCTAGCGAGGATGTTGAGCTCGGCATTGTTTATTTTACGTGAAATAAATCATATTTGGTGTATTTGATTTAACAAACTCAGCACGGCCAAAGCGGCGTATACGTAATGCCAGCGACCCACATAACACAGTCAATATGTATTGGGTAATATTTGACGGACGTGCTGCACACACACACACACACACACATATACATATTTACATGTCTTCCTGTATGGTTGTTGTTATTATTGTTATTATTATTATTGTTATCCACAAATACCACAATGGAAACCATAATTTGAGGTTTTAGCTGGAAATGTAAAATATATTTTATTGCATAACCAGCAACGACAGGGAAATTTCAATTAACCATCGCATAACCATAAAGAGTTTATATATATATATATACATACATATATATTATATATACATATATATTGTTGGCATTATTTAAAGATTTGCATAAATTTTGATTTGAAAATATTGAATAAAGTCTTTGGCAGTTGAGCTGAATTAGATGCGATTGCTAGGCTATTAATATCTGAGGCAATAATGGCCTCTGTTGTCACAGCAGCTAAGATAATAGGCTTATATTCCAAATAACTATATTCGATTAAGGCTTAATATTTTGTAAAAAGCGAGAGCTAATGCTAACTCTGAATTATAAATTAAAATAATACAGACGAAATAAATATTTAAATTGATTAATAAAGTACAAATAAATAAAATAAAATAAATTTTGGGTATAAGAAATTATTGAGCTGGAATATATTAATGCTTCTCGTTTGCAATCTGGTTCATTTTATATATAATTTTTATTATTTCTTAAGCATTTATTTTGGCCTCAATTTAAGAATTAAAAAATAATAACAAAAGTAATAAAAATAATATTAATATTGACAAAAGTAATAATATTAATAAAAATATTAATTAAAAATAATCAAACTAAATAATAATATTTTTATAAAAATATACTAACTTCTCCTCTCACTATTCACAAGGAAAAGCTTTTCAACTTTTCACCTTTTTTGTAGTTAATTTATTCACTTTCTAAAGTTGATTTGATTTCTCAATTGATTTCTGTTGCAAGTCAAACACTACTCCAGAAAAACCCTTTGGCAGCCCTTGGCAACTAGTCGACTTGGTCTTAATGGACCTAATGATAAGTCGGGCTCTCACGCAGCAGTGGCTCTTTCAAGTTCCATGAACAACTTTTATGAGTTGAAGCTGCTTGTTTCGCAGCGAGAACAACATAAAAACCTAAATCAAGTGAATTGAGCCACAGGATTGCTATTCGCATGGCCATTGCCATTGGCATTGGCATTGCCGTTGCCGTTGCCGTTGCCGTTGCCAGTTTAACGAGCAGCAGCAGCAACAATAAATGGCATTACATTTTAATGACTGCACTTAATGTGCTTACAGTTTCAACAAAATAATACTTGCAGCAAAGCAAGCCAGCTGAGAGGGCACTCGACCCTTGGCCCGACCTGGGCAAGAAATGGGTTAATCAGAGCAGAGCAGAGCTGGGCCAAGGGACTGGCCAAATTGGATAGTCAAAACATTTGGCAAGTGCGTTTTGTAATTATTTACGATGCGCCCAGCAGAAGGACAACAGCTCGAAATTGTCAACAGTTGGAGATGTGCACACACACTCACACACACACAAACACATAAACACACACACACACACACGCACGTAGCGTACGCCTTCTTAAATAATATGGCAACATGTACGTGCTGCCTCTGTGTGCGCGTGCGTGTGCGTGCGTGTATTCACATTAATCGTGAAATTCATTGTTTGCTGTTGTTGCCGTCACGTTGTGCAATTCATGGTTAAATGGGAATGTTAATTGCCTTGTAATTGCATGGAATTGCTATGTAAATCAACGTGATATGATTGCTATCGATCATATTGATTACATTTACGCTACGCGGGGTAAGGCAAGCGTGCCACAGCTAGACATTTGTGAATATCACGTATGAGGATATGGACTTTTGATCTGTATTAGCTATATGGATACATTATAGTTCATGTTAGTCATACCAGAGAGCTAAGTAGTAAGAACTCGACTCCTGCTCTCATCAACTTTCTCCATAGGCGCCCTCTTCTCATACATTTGTGAGCCTCTCATATCAGAGTATATATTTTCGATTAGTATATATATATTTTAGTTCATGCTAGTCATGCCAGAGAGCTATGTACTATAAACTCGACTCCTGCTCTCATCAACTTTCTCAATAGGCGCCCTCTTCTCATACATTTGTAAGCCTCTCATATCAGAGTATATACTTTCGATCAGTATTTATTATTTATATATATTTTAGTTCATGTTAGTTATGCCAGACAGCTATGTACTAAAAACTCGACTCCTGCTCTTACCAACTTTCTCAATTTCCGCCCTCTTCTCATGCAGTTGCTGCTGTCTGCTGTCAATATATAAAATCATTTGCAAATGAAGCTTTCAATTATAAAAATCACTTCGACAACATGTATTCACTGGGGTACGGCACTCAGTCTATTCTCTTTTCTTTTTGCTATCTCTTTTGTGGTCTGCCTTAAAGGAGAGCAAAACTCTCGTTTATGGGCTGCAAACGCTTGCGAGGACAACTTGTCTCAGAAATTGGAAGCGGTTGACATCTGCTATGCAGGAGGTTGGTGCAGCTGAGTTTCCTTTGTCAGCCACACTCAGCTTCGTTCGCATCCACAATATCTCAACGTGGCCCGCAATTTCGACTGTCATCTCAATTCCCCACTTAACGGCAATTTTATTATTGCTATGTTGTAGCTTGTTTCTGTGCGGTTTTTGTCTCAATGCTCTTTGCGTTCAGCTATGGTCCAGTGCTGTTGCTTCTGCTGTGCATGAGTGCGTGCGTGTGTATGTATGTGTGTGTAGGTGTGTGTAGGGGGTTTTGTGGTTGTCTGTTGCGCTTTCATTAAGCGTCACTCGTGTATGGCTCCCCATGCGCACATTTGTGAGAGCTGCACAGTGAACGGGCTCCTCTCAAGTAGGCAAACTGTCGTTGAAGTTGTTCAGGATTCTAGGTCCTGTCTGTGGCATTGCCATTGCCGTTCTTGTTGTCGCCATTGTCGTACTGTCATTTCCGCTTCCTCAGTTTGGCTGGCCTGGCCTGAGCTGGGCTGAGTTGAGTTGAGTTCAGTTCAGTTGAGTTGAGTTGAGTTCATGGTGCGTTTTGTTGTTGCTGCTGCTGCTGTTGTTGTTGCCGTTGCTGCTGTTGCTGCTGCTGCTGCTGCTGCTGTGATATATGTTTACCCGAGAGTACAATTAAAAAATACATTTTGCTATTGTTGTCAGCGTCATCGTCATCGTCGTCAGCATCAGCATCAGCATCAACGTCGCATGACAAGCCAAAGATGCCGCAAATAGCAAAACCACAGCAACCGCAAACCGCAAATAACAACAACTACAACAACAACATTAATAATAACCACACACAACAGCAGCAACAGCAGCAACAGCAACAGCAACAGCAACAGCAACAGCAGAGACAGCAACAAGCGCTGGCAACAATGAGTGAAATAATAATAACGCCCCAACAAAAAGCGCTGCCTGGCGAAAGGACTCGTGACTGGTATCAGTTTGGTTGCTGCTAATGGCCCCGTCCTTCGATAAGTCAACTGTTCGCTCCAATTCCTTTCATCCCCGCCCTCTCTCACTCTGTCTCCGGCCCTCGCCGAAAAGACAATAACGATCAATTAACACAGCAGCCCCATGCCAACTATAAGCTCCTGCTATTGAGCTGTATGTGTAACGGGCAGCGGACAGCGGACAGCAGGGACAGCGCTGCCTGCGATAAAAGATAAAGACAGAGAGAAAAGAAGGAGAGTTTAA